ATGGGGTGACAGGTGGGGTGGAAGTGTGAGAGAGGGGTGACAGGGTGGGGTGGCAGGGTGAGATGATGGCGACAGGTGGGGTGGCAGGGTGAGGGGGTGACAGATGGGGTGGCAGGGTGAGATGATGGTGATGGGGAGGTGGCAGGGTGAGGTGAGGGGGGGTGACAGGGTAAGGTGCAGGGTAAGGGGGGTCAAAATGTACCTTTTTCCCTGGTGGTCCAGTGGGGTCAATCTGTCCCTGGTGGTCCAGTGTCCTGGATGGCTCCCTGGTGGTCCAGTGGGCTTTCCGGTCTGCAGCTCCGCCGGATGCAGAGCTGCAGACCACATGGGGATTGTCTCGCGATCTCCATTCAGAGCGTTGCCGTGGTAACCCGCGGCAACGCTCTGATTGGCTGGAGAGCGCGAGACACCTCAGTCTGCAGCTCACACCCGGCGGAGCTGCAGACTGAGGCCGGCTCTCTCCCCGGGCGGACTGACAGGAGGGGCCTCGCACCCGTCGGCACAAAGGGCAAGCCGCCGGGCCCCCTCCTGTGTCGGGTCCTCGGTCATAGACCGAGAACCAGACATGTCAGTCTGCCCTCAGGCGACTTAGGCGGCCGCAAGGCCCCTGACTGCGCGAGGCCTTAGACGGCCGCCTAAATCGCCTAATTAGAGAGCCGTCTCTGGTGGCGATCCCAGAGTCCTGCTGCTAGCAGACACAGGACTTCATTGAAAGAATACAGCTTTTTTTTGTTTCTCATGCATATCTCCAACTTAAAAATCGATTTCTAGTAACAGTATATTGAAAACATCAAACTTATATTCTATTGTTAAAAGCTCATTCTCCATCTTTACATGAGCTAACTGAGTGCGATGGTAATGACGCTTCCAATGGTGAAACCATGTCATTGTCAGAGAACTCATCAAACAATGTATCCAGCCTCATTAGTCTTTATTATTCACTGTATGCAAATGCCGGCACTGCACTTTTGTTTTAGTGCTTGAATGCAATCGTTTTGGACCATTAATTACGGTTTCTATGCAATTTACACTATAATACAATCACCATCTAAATGTATTTAATGCATTCACCTCTTAAGGTCACAGCTTCAGAAGTAAAAGGCCAGCATGATGGAACATTTCCGTCATGTGTCCCTAAACTAGTTAAAGGTCATTTATCCTGCCAGACCCAGAGAGTAACCCAGCAAGATTTTATTTCTGTGCTATATTTTGGGTTTCACATCTCCTACTAGACTATGGAATGATTAGCAAATTAAAAGCGTTTGTTACACGTTCACCCTTTCATGTTGCGTTTCCTTACTATCAATATATTTGTGTTCGTACTTGTTAACGAAATAACTCGGAACATGAAACCATTTCAGCTGATTGGGATTTTATTACAGAGGTATGAAATACTTGCATAGGGTCACAACAGAAACAATTAGCACAAATCACATGTTGTATGACGTGCACATTATTTTCACATGCAGATATTGTGGATTCACAATAACAGTCTTATACAAAGAGTATTGAGTGTTTTCTATAGTACAAATAATCCAATACATATCTGGACATCTCAGCTTTCCTGAATATTTTTTTTCTGAGGTCACAGATTTCACAATTCTTACTGCACAGGATTTAACATTAAGATAGCAAACATCTCCCAGTATTATGATTGAAGGAAAATGTAGAATATAAATATGGGGTGATATAAAGATAAGGAAATGATATGTAGTTTTTTGTTGGGAAGGCCACTCGGATAAAAAACATCAATCCAGACAACTATTACTTGGAAGATTCAAAGAATTTATACCAGAGTGAGCCTTGATAACAAGTGACGGATGTATTTTTTTTTTTTTTTTTATAAAAGAAATTGTTATGGAACAGAGAACAGAATTCAAAAATGCTAGAAGGATGTTAAGGCACAGCGATATTCATTAAATACAAATCGGTTATAGACCTAAAATAGTAGAATTCAGAACTAGAAAGATCCAATAATAAGACTATGACTATCACTGTTTAGGTTTCTGTTTTTGTTACAGTCAAGAATGCCATGTAGTGGGGGGCGAACACCCAGGGGCTAAAGCTATGATAATATGGAAGCAGAAACAGTCCTAACATTCCTTTATAGATTTTCCTGGGGTTGAATTACAATAGAGCGAGGTAAAGGTATTTCGGTTTGTTTACTTCGTGTCGAAGCTCTCTATGGACTAACAAAGTAAGATCTAGTCAGCCATTTTGTAGTCCAGAACATTACCATCACAGAGTGTGTTTTTTTTATTTTTTATAAATCTGATTAATAGACTGCTACTTGATTTTGTAACAAGTACTAATTTATTTAAAAATATTTTTCACATAACTGTACAATTGAGAAAAGCATACTTTAATATGGTGTAACTGGTATAGTGTGTTTCACACAGAAAGCTATTCATTAAAAGGCATACACGCAATAATATGTGGGGGGGGAAAAAGTACATATATTTTTTGTATTTATAGTGAAATTATCATCTTGAATGTAACAGTCACTTTAGGAGGGTACATTCTTATCTGTGCATGGATCCAGTTAGATTTTATTAAAACACAGGTACCAACAAACAGGTTATGCATAAAAAGAAATTCTGGAGGAATTTTGAAAAAGACTGCCCTAACCCCAATAAAAAAAAATTAAAAAATTGTTTTCAAATGAATAATTAGCATTAGGGTATCTACTAGTTAGATCTGAAATAGGAGCTCAAAATGTACTGAATTCAAAAAATTTGAATTTTTAAAAGGCAAGTTATATGGATCATGCTAAATTTAAAGCACAACTCTCTACTACTCCTTAAAGTCCTCAATATTCGATAATATTGGTGCAACTTTGAATAACAAATGTATCTTGATTCTTGATGTAACCCCGAGAGTTACAAATTTATGATCTTAACTTTAATGTTAAGAGCAACAGAACAAGTCACCAGATACTAGTGAAATAACAAATTTGGTTAAAAAAAAAAAAAAAGGCAAATTGGGAAGATGAAACATGAAATTATTCATCTGGAGAGTCAGGGCAATAAAGCACACATACTAAATAATTCTGGGATCAAATCTGTCCAACTAGGATAACGTCACCATTCTACAGTGAAAACATGGATCTTAGTTTAGTGCTAAATGGATTGTTTCTCTATGAAAATCCAAGTGCTTCTTCAAGGCCTCTAAAGATTAACCTATGCAATATACAGGGGCGAGTGAAAAAACCTTGCATATTATATGACTTAAGCATTTACTACCACTATGACAAAAATAAAATAAAAATTATATATAATGTATACATATGAATATTACAATTACTATATATTTAAACATTTGTAAAAACTAAACAAACAGTTATTTGTAGTAACATTCCTGTGAATTCAGAACACAAACTATTCCCCTAGATCTATACTAGAATATCACTTTATTCTTATATTATGTATTTATCTGTCCAATTCCAATACAAGGTTCTAGGAATGGAACATAAACTCCATAGTTCCAGCAAAAATATGTGTTTTCCTTAATTTATGGACACGTTGACTGATTACAAAAATAAATCTATGAGAAAATAGTAGACTACAAACCATCAAGAAGATGAAATAAGAGGTCTTAGGGAGGCACCTAGAAATATAAACACATGGGCATCAGTAAACCACACGGTAACATTCTGAAAATCAAACAAAACGTGTTATGCATCAGAAATGTGATAAAATGTTAACTATTGATATACCTCAAATAAAGCAGCTGATTGGCTGTAGACAGGATTTTAAAAGAAATGATGGTATGAGAATGTTTCACGTTCAACTGTAAACATGGACAGGGCGAATAAAGATCTAATACAATATGCACCGTAATAGGTATACAATGGATGTGTCAATGAAAGATGGCGTGAAACCCGGTATTATGGATTGTCGATCTCCTTTGTATTTTTTTTAAGCTCAGAATTCTGTACTACCATGCAGCTGAAACACTTTAAATGGACTAACATTTTTCCTTAATTAGGTTGGTTCAAGGTAGCATTAATAATTTTATTATTTTTTAAATGGATTCAGCTAGCACTGTATTTATATTCTTCCATTTATACTTTCAATGTTCGGCACCGGTATAAATCAAAGTCCCATCTATGTTCCAGCTGCTTTCGTTTTAAATGAACATTTCATCACATTTCAAATACACAACAATAATTATGTAATACAGCAGGGGTTATATAGAAATATTTCACTAATTGTAAGATATACAACTCTAGAATTTAAAACTGACCGCTGGCTAGATATTTAACCCTTTGAGTACCAAGAAGAGAATGCGACACCTTAAATGAAACCAGGAATTCTGGAGAATTGACAAGGGAATTGAAATTATAGGACAAAATAGCTGAATTGGGAGGGGGTAAAAGAAAAAGTTTAACTGCCTTCTTTTCCTATATGGCTTTTTATGGCTAGTTCAAAGTGTAAAATTCCCTGGACAATTTAGTACAATTCCCTATATTTACAGCCATCTCTGGCAATTACAATTTTTTTTTGAATTTTTTTAAAGACTGATCCTCCGGGGTGATCGATTTGTGACACAATACAAACTCAAAACTTAAAGTCGTCACAGTTTAAAAAAAAAAAAAAAAAAAAAAAGAATTCACATATTTCCCAGGTCGAAGATTTCAAATGAAGAACAAAAACATACACACACATAAAAGCTAAATACAGTGTTCTAGCTTAGCGATTTGAATCAATACTCATATACGGAGTTACGATGGGCATACGATGCTGCCAGTGATTTGCATTGCACGCTGAACTTCTTAATGCCATAAGTAACAATAAAAGAAGCCCAAAAACAAAAAAAACAAAAAAACTTGACCTAAAGTGAGGTTAGCTAATAGAAAGTAATAAAATGCATGAATGGATGTCATTAATGATTTGGGCTCGTCAGTTAGGAAATTAAGTTTGTTATGCTCTATAATAATTTTTTTTTATGTAAAGAATAATTTGTGGCCGTGGGTGCATTGCACTGTATTTTTAGAGCAGCACGGTCACAGATGACAGTACCTCCGCTCATTATATAGACGTGTCAGGAGTAGGAAAAAAATATTTAAGACAAAGTAGTCCCTACTTTGTCTTATGTTTTTAGTTAGAAATAGATCAAAAATGGGAAAAAAGAAAGGAGTTGGAAAGAGAAGAGGAAGTGACTTGGAAAAGGAAAGTTCGGAGTGACAATTCCGCTTTAAGTGCACGGCCTATCAATTTCATCAAGTTATTACACAACTAACAGGCAGATTTTATTCTTGACTTACAAGAACTGGCTTTGTAATTTAGGGAGTCCCTCTGATTCTACTAGAACTGCCATCAGCTTTCTCCTGCAACAATTATTTTAGTTGTCAAAAGGTACAGTTTAAAATGTGCAGTATCCTTCTTAGAATTCCAAGTTAGAGACGCTGGTAAATCACCCAAATGGTTCTCAAATAATACTGGCCCAATTTACTACATTATTATGGAAACACAGCTGTACTTTGATATTGCTGTATATATTTGTATTATCCAGCTAGCCACAAAATATATCATTTTCACAAAAGTGATACTTTTTTGTTTAAACAAATAGTGTATCTAAAAAACCAAGTTAAATTGTTCAAAATCAACAATTCAGTCCTTCATATAGGTTTGGTAGCAACATTTTGTCCCTAGCAATTAAAAAAAATAAAATAAAAAAAAGCCTATGCCAAGTAGTATGGTTGTATTGTTGCACTACATGAAAAGTATCTATCTTCGTATATGCATTTGCACGCACGCACACACAGGGAAAGTACAACAATAAAACATAATGCCTCAAATATAATTTGACAGCGAAACAAATTTAACTGCGAAATCAGTTTTACTTTTAAAAAAACCAAAAACCTTTATAGGACATTTTTTGTAGCAAGACAGTTTGCATAGTTCTATGGGGCCAATTTTACTATGGCACACCACTTATGACACAACTGTTTTGCTAACAAGATAGAGTACTTTTATTTGTAGCAGACATACTTGTTCTCTTGGAGGAATTAACTCTGCTGCAGACTGGAGTCATGTTCGAAATGTGGCAAATATAATCAGGTTCCATTTCTAATCAAATACATACTGTATTTCGTCACAGTCCTAAGGGTCAAAAATTAAGTAATCTAATCTTACTTAAATAGCTTTAAAAACAGCAGAGGGAAAAAAAGTGTTCATGCAGACATACCAAACACTACAATATACTCAAAGTTAACCATCAAAGGCATTTTCTACCTGAACTTATTTTTCAAAATAATACTCACTGCTGTATATATAAATTTGGCCAACTATTTAACAGATGTAACAGACTTGTTTTTCAAGGATATTTTAATAATTTAAAAGACTCCTGTCATGGCGTCCGCAGGATGTGCTATGGGGCAGCACGTTTCTGCATGGCGTTCGGGGAGTGCTGCTCCCGCCTCTTTCCTCTTTGGCAGCACCCCCGTCTGGTGTTACCGATGCTGGCCGCTGCGTATTGGTGCCCTTAAATGGCTCTGCCATTCCTGGTCCTAATTAGGACGAGCACATATTTGTACTACTCTGTAAAGCCTTTGGATTTTGATTTTGAATACTTCTAAGTGACTGCGTATTCCTTCCATTGTGTTCCAGGCGTGGTGTTGGGTTCCCTGAGTGCAACACTTCATTTGGAATAGGATGAGAACGTGCTACATCATTACTGATACGTCGCACACACATTCTGGCATCGCATGATCGCTACAATAAGCTCATTCTGGCATTTGTACTGTGCTCGGTCGTGGTTTCCATTGTGGCAATTCAAGAGTGTGTTGTATTCTATTGTGTTTTGTCTCTGGCTTGTACCTTGACTGTTCTGACTTCTGTATTCCTTGATCTCTTGCTTGTTTACGTACACGGTTTCCCTGACCTCGGCCCATCCTGTAGGACCAACTATTAATGTTAAATTTGGCCATTCGGTAATACATTTTAGGATTTCTGGTTTACATTTATTTAGCCTGACTTAAATTCTGTGTGTTCGGTAATAGTGAACTCTTGACAATCAGAATTGTGGGTTTGTTTTGCAACATATACCAGAAGAGATACCAGAGAGATAAAGAGATAGAGATATATATATATATAAAAACGACAACCCATTTATGTAAAATCCGATCTTAAAGATAAGCAAAAGATGGAAACTGGCAGACCAATGTTTGAGAAAAGCCAAACGTGTGGAAAAACCCCCCCCCCAAAAAACCCAAAAACTATGTATCAATGTAGTTTTAAAACTTGCTATTAGCAGTGTTTCATAGTGAAACGCTGCACATTCAGACTCCAGGCAGCATGATCGCTTCAAATCACCGAAGTTGTTATGGTGCTAGGACTACCATTTTAACTGCCAGTTCATCTATGGACTGAGTGTGGTTTCAGATCATTAGGTACGAATATAGAAGAATAAATCCAGAGAATAAAAAAAACACATGCTTTTCAACAGTCAAGTCACCAATATATAGAAGTTGATTTAAAAAAATAAAATCACATTGTAAAAAAAGAAAAAACAGGCATGGAATTACCAGGCAAGAAGATACACCCTACCGCCTGCACAAACACTCCTATCAGCAGCCAGTGAAAAGTTTTAAAGCTATCCTTCATCTTGGTCTACAGTGTCCTTTAAAATAGATTTGGATTGGTATAAGGATGGGCTTAATGGACAGTTACGGATATCTGCTTCTAAGGATATAACCAGGCTAAGCAACAGCATCTAACTCAGACATCAAGTTGAGCTTTGTACTCTGTGGTGGTCATGTAGATATAGAGTAGTTAATGAACAGAGTGTACATTGCGAATCTGGCATAACATCTAACATTTCTTAGCCCTAAAACTGCATGCCCACTTGGTATGGTTATGCTGCTTTATTACAGTGCCTGCCATCTTTTCATCACGGGTTACAAGGTTCTAAAAAGTTGTACACATGCATCTCAGCTTAACACATTTAATTAAAAACCACAAACTTAAAATTCAGAAAACATGATGGAATTAAAGCAGATTGTATATCAGCATCACAAAACAAATGCAATGTATTTGGATTCAGCCAAAATCATGCTCGCAAAGTTCAGGCGAATGCTTTGAAGGCATGACATAAGACTGGAGCACCAGCTGAAGGCAGAGTAAGATAGATTGTCTGTGTATCAACCATTATATAATAGACGTGTCCAAACTTGGCTCTATAACTGCCATTGCACTACAATATCCAATAATGTTCTGCCAGCTGTTAACAGAGGATTATGGGAAATGCAGTCCAAAACCAGATCGAAAGCCAAATTTGGACACCAATGGTTTATTCCATGTGCATTGCTGCACCCAAAGTGTTGATTATGTAGAATGTAAGTACACACACACACAAATACAGTGCTAAACACATAACAGATATATAACACAGCACATCATCTTCATATGATATTCAACAATAAGCCAACTCCAGGTTTTTTTTTTTTAAACATTTGGCAGTGCATAGGAGTACTTCTAGTATGGATTACAGAATTGACAGCTCCCATACACATTAGCAATTATACATCGTAGTAGCAGGAGCCTTGTGTCAGAGCCATGGTCAATCTTTATAGGAAAATGGCTGGAGCTTTTCCATTTAAAGTTAAAAGCAGCATTATTGGCAGCACTGAAAGCATTACACCACAGGGCAAAGAACCCAAAGGCACAGAGGCACCAACTCTAGCCAAACCAGAATCCTGCCTTGCAAACAGCTTTCACCAAGGTAACAAATTCATTCATAACAAGGAAAATAAAAATAAAACATTTTGCCAAACAGAAAACTATTACAGAAAATTCAAAAGAATAAAGAATGATGATATGTGAGCCGTGTTTCTGGTCCTAAACATAAGGCACCAGATATTTAACAGATCCTGTCGTTTCTGTATAAAACAAGAGTCCCAAAGGCAATTGACTGTAGAGTGCATATCGGGTTGGCATTGTCCTAATTATTATAAAACCAAGCCTGTAGCTTTCTGGATCAGTGGAATCTGAAAAAAAAAAAAAAAAAAAAAATCAAAGTCTAAGTATACATTCTAATGAACAATTAAAGCATTCAGACTTTAAGAAATGTAAAATGGAAAGTGTAAATGTTTACGCAAATTGCAAATCTCTAAAGTTTCCCTTGGCGTACCTGCTTAGTGTACACCCATCCCACACAGGACGAAATGCTTATCTCATAAACCTATGCACAGCAGAAGATTATGGGAGAAATAGTTTATAACCACATTGCAGATCCATTCACTTAGGAGGAGTAGAACTGCTGTGTTAATGGATGGCAGCAGAATGCACACCATCTGAGGCAGTGTTCTGGCCAATGTTTTGTTGTGAAACCTTGGATCCTGGAAGATGACCTCCAAATTTCACAGATCTCAATTCAGTTGAGCATTTATGGGATGTGCGAAAAAAAAATAAAAAAAAATTTAATGGGTGGTCCCACCTCAAAACTTGCAGGACTTAAAGGATCTGTTGCTAACGTGTTGGTGCCAGATACCACAGGACATGTTCAGAGGTCATGTGGAGCCAATGCCTTGACGCATCAAAGTGGTTTTGGCAGCACAACGGAAACCTACACAATAATAGGTAGATGATTCTAATGTTGTGGTTGATAAGTATATGTTCCCTGTGACATTGAGTAAGTGGATGGCTTTGCAGTTTCTTAGACACAGTCAGTAGATAAGATATATTGTTGCCGAGCACATAAGGCACATGTATCTAGGCATACCAACCTTTGTCAGATCTACTCCTGTCAGAGCTTGAACAGAAGCAGGAACCTCAGCCAGCAGACGATTCATTTCCCCAGTTATTTTGCTGTTTTCTCCACTCAGAATGAGAATTTCATCAACTTTTGCCAGAGGAGCAGATATTTTGGCAGCAATCTAAATAAGAAAGAAAGAAGAAGAAAAAAAAAAAAAAAAACCTATAAGACAACTGTCAAGAGATAAAAGTTGTGGCCTGACAGACTGTCCATTGCAATGACTGATTTGCCACATGTGATTGGCTACAGGCACTGAAGCAGAGTGAAGTACCTGCTAACATTTAAAGGAACACTGTGGCTTTAGAAATAAAATGTATTTTTTATGCTGGAGTGTTGGTGAATCTCTTGGGTCCCTTTTTCATGTGTGTAACATTTTTTTTACATGTGTTTTTGTGTGTATTTTTCTGCGTGTCAGTGTTAATTTTGGCAACAAATTTCAATTTAGTTTTAATCATAGTCTTTTCACTAAAAAGCCATTTTAGTTTTTGTCGTATTATTTGTGCCTATCATTGCATTATGGCACTGAGCACAATATTCATAAATTTGGTTAAAGAAATGCTATAGTGTTGGGAACACTAAAAGGTCCCTCTGCTCCCTACTCTCCTGGCGAATAAAGTTTTTTTGTTTTTTTAAAAACAAAAAACAAAACAAAGAACTTTTCCTCCCCACTTCCCCGGCGCTGGATAACTCGCAGTCTTCTCCGGTGTTGCAGAAATTAGGCCTTCCCCATAGTAACGTATTGACACAATGCTTTCTTATGGGGATTTTCAAGATGCGGGAAAACTGATGACGTCCAGTGTAGTTTCACAGAGACTCTGTGTGAATCAAGTAAGTGCTTGTAGTGGCTGTCTAAACAGCCACTAGAGGCAGTCTTAACCCTGCAATGTAAACATTACGGTTTATCTGAAGTTGCAATGTTTTGCATTGCGGGATTAAGGGGACAGGGACTCTACACCCAGACCACTTCAATTAGATAAAGTAGTCTGGGTGCTTAAAGTGTCCCTTTAAAGTCAATAATCCAAGCTCCATAATCACTAGAGCGGCCTGTATGGTTTATGGAGCCAAGGGTGGCCTGGTGCCCCTCAAATATAAACAGTCAAACCATTTTAGAACAGCCAATGCAGAGCGAGGAGATTCAGTTAGCTCTCCTTAGCTAAGCCCTGCAGTGCAGAGTCAGCTGATGTTGCTTGGAGTGTTCCTTTAAATGTAATTAAGAGGTGATGCTGCACTTTAGTAACCTCTATGCAATATTAAAACTATGGAACATACAGAGCAAAACAAAGGGCAAATTAATATAGGGGCAGCCGGAATTTTTTTCTGCTTGAGTTACCTGAGGCAGGCAATCCAAGACAATAGCCATCTTTGCAGCTTCTCCGTACTGTTGATAGGCGGATGCTTTCAACCGCATTTTCTCTGCCTCGGCTTTTCCAATGGCTTCAATAACAGAAGCTTCTGCTTCTCCCACTTTACGAATCTTTTCAGCCTCAGCTTGAGCAGTGAGCACCTGTTTTACCCTGGGCAAGAAAGGACAAGGAAGTCAAATATGTTATTTTTCAACGGCACTTTTTATCTCCTGCTCTGTAAATTGAACTTTAATTACATGCAGGAGGATCCTGCACCGTCTAGCAAGCTATTAACAGAGCAGGAGCTAAGGAATTTTAAATTAAACAGAACTTACAATGAAGCAAGTGTAAACATTAGATGTATCTTTACAGGAAGTTTTTAGGAAGGCTGTGTAAGTCACATGGCAGGGAGATGTGCCTATGGATGCATAAAGCGATTTAACTCCTAAAATGGCAGAAAAATTGAGTAGTGAGACTGCAGGGGCATGATCTATACACCAAAACTGCTTCATTAACCGAAAGTTGTTTGGGTGACTATAGTGCCCCTTTAAATAATAAACTCATATTTCAAACTTAGGTCTTGATTTAATTCTGTCGGTCAGAAACAGCAAATAGTTATCAACTTTTCTTCTGCCAATTTGTCATTTATTTATCGATAGAATTTTGCTTGGATTCAAAGAAATATGCTTCACTTTTCTTTTTAAACCACATTTAAACAAATATCCAAAGCAAAATACACTTTGAAAAGCATGTAGTAAACTTTTATAAAACTTAAAATATTGCATTATTGGGCCTTTTAGCCAGGGAAGTTTCTTCAGCCCACCCACCATCTTTTCACAGTTTATGCCTGTGAAGGCTGTAGGGAGCATCAAATCCAATGCATGAAGATATAATTCCTTTGGTGCTTTGAATGTCCCTTTAAATGCCAAACCATGCAAAAACTATGTTATAGTGACCAAACAGCTTCATACATTGTTTATTAAGTGTGTATGTTCAGTTGTTGCCTTCTAGGTGCTGAACTACAACCCCCAAATCCTGTGCCAAAACAGAGGTTAAATCACTGCCTTACTTTTGTCCTTCAGCGATCTGCTGAATTCGATAAGACTCTGCTTCAGCTGGTCTCCTGACAGTTGCAATCAATTCCTTGTCCGTACGGATAATTTCTTTCTCCTCAATGTCTATCTGCTTCTTACGTTGCACCACCTCAATCTCAATCTCTTCCTGGCGGATCTTTTGTTGTTCTTTAGCAGCTTGAAGTTCATATGCCAGCTGTGCCTCTGCTTTCTGCAGGATTAGAAAAACTAAAAAGTTTAGATAGAATAGAATTGTTTGTCATGTACAGCACATGATTAGATCCTGCTTTCTTGCAACCCGGTGGAAAGATTACTGTTAAAAACAAATAAAACACAAACTACTTAAAGCGACTGTCAAACAACTTTTTTGTATCTCCAAACTTCCCCTTTTAATATATTTCACTTAATAACCGCCTTCACCTCAAATTGCGCTCCTCTTTGTGGCCCAAATCCTCTCTCAGCGACGCCATCATTTAAATACTGGCAGTGACATAAAGCCACTACCTTCTCTTGCCCACATTATGTGACAGGGAAGCACTTTGGAGACAGCCATGCATAAACCATAAGCGCGAGAGCTCAAAATGGAACTAGGCCTGCGCAGAGCTCGAAAATCATGCGAGGCAATGGAGGAAGGAAAGGATATGGGCGAGTATTGTGGAAAAGTTAGCTTGACAGAGGAAGTGGAGCTCGCCTTAAGCTCCACCCTTTGTCAAAAATTGTCAAGCGTTGGAAAAATACACAAGACAAAGTAGTTCCTATTTTGACTTTGTTTTAAAGAGAAAGTAGAAATTAAGAAAATAAGAACAGATTATGAAAGCGGAAATATTAGGAGAAAGGCATGTTTAGGGTGACAGAGCCACTTTAACAGTCATTTTAGGATAGTGTTTTCTGCGTTTTGTTAAGATTAAAATTAGTCACCATCAGGTTGAATTTGTTTTAAATCACTAGTCATGAAGACTATCTAATTTTAAAGACTCATTCTTGCTGGTTGTTATATAATATTTCATGGATAGTGGATGCCTCACACATATGTAATATAACATGTGCCTGGGGAATGCAGAGTAAATGCAGAAAAATACCCTTTTTTATTTTATTTTTTTACCTCTGTCTTTTAAAATGATCATATACCATCAGTTTGTTGGGAGGCACTTACTTACCTTAGTATTTACTTCCTGGCTAAATGCCGCCTTCTGCATTTCAAATGCACGTTTTGAATCCGCTATTTTTGTGTCAGCAAGGTATTTCACATCAAGCATTTCTCGCTTGCATGTTGCTTCCTGTAAGAAGAAATCATTTAAAAAGATTAGTTATGCAGCATGTCATACTCACGATTCTACGCATTATGTGTCAACACTTCTAGCAAGTCATATACCTAGTTATAGGGGCCACAATATCCCAAGGTTGCAGTTCTGAACCCACCAGGATTCTTTTTAAGCATGGTCTGCAGGGAAGAAGCTAGCTGTGCTCTGCCCATGATAGCCACCTCTTCCCTGCTACTACCTGGCTTACACAACCGCACCCACCCATTGCTTATCAACAAGATTAATAGAGAGAAAGCACCATAGTGTGTTATACCATCTCAGCACACCCATCTACCCACAAAACCCCCAGACACCATGGAACACATAAATAGAAAGAAGAAAGTGAGGAGTAAAGCCATGGTGTGAAAATAGGGCCATGTAAGCCATATACATTTTCATAGCACGACAACACTTTGATGTGCCAATGACAGCACAGAATCCACTGTGTTCTGGAGTACTTACCTGTATGCCTGCATCACGCTCTGCCTCCGCTACACCAATATCAGCATCTCTCTGGACAACCGCGGTTTGAGTCTTACCCAAAGAACTGAGATATTCAACCTTGTCATACACATCCTGCAAAAAGCACAACAAATTTGGCACCAATTAAAGGTAGATGTTAGAGTGAATTCCAAACGAGATATATTGATGTGTGTCAATGATAGATATATAGAGATATATATATATATATATATATATATATAAATAATAGTGTAATACACTACATATTTTAGCAAGAAAGAAGGAAAATGCATCTTCACAGCAATGTTAAAGAATATTTTATACCTTTATGGTAAAGCTCAAAATCTCAATACCCATTCGACCAACATCGGGAGCTGCAACTTCTCGCACGAGCTTGGCAAACTGATCTCGATCCTGATAGATTTGCTCCACAGTTAATGTACCTGCATACGGTTAAACATACTTGTAAGAAAATACATACCGTATATACTCGAGTATAAGCCGGCCCGAGTATAAGCCGACCCGAATATAAGCCGAGGCCCCTAATTTTACCACAAAAAACTGGGAAAACTTATTGACTCGAGTATAAGCCTAGGGTGGGAAATGCAGCAGCTACTGGTAAATTTCTAAATAAAATTAGATCCCAATAAAATTAATTGAATATTTATTTATAGTGTGTGTGTGTGTGTGTGTGTGTGTGTGTGTGTGTATAAACTGGGTGAGGGGAGGGCATTTTTATTTTAATATTATATTATTTTAATAATATATTATTTTAATATTTGCTTTCTTTCTCTCTCTTTTTTTTTTTTAATGTTTTTTTTTGCCCCCTCCTGCTTGTTGCCTGGTCAGGGAGGGGGGACAAAAAAATATTTAAAAAAAAAATATATGCAAATATTAAAATAATAATAATATAATATTATTTTAATATTATATTATCTTAATAATATTAAATCCCTGGTGGTCCAGTGGCATTGGCAGTTCAGTGGGGGGGCTGACAGTGAGCTGTTACTTACCTTTCCTGCAGCTCCTGTCAGCTCCCTCCTCCGTGCAGCTCCTCTGTCAGCTCCGTTCTGCTCACAGTGTAAGTCTCGCGAGACATTTACACTGGGAGCAGAACGGAGCTGACAGAGGAGCTGCACGTAGGAGGAGGGAGCTGACAGGAGCTGCAGGAAAGTAAGTAACAGCTCACTGTCAGCCCCCAACAGGACCGCCGGGCTTGTAATGAGCCCGGCGGTCCTGGTCTGTATTGTGGCAATGTAAGTTGTCACAATACAGACTGACTCGAGTATAAGCCGAGTTGGGGTTTTTCAGCACAAAAAATGTGCCAAAAACTCGGCTTATACTCTAGTATATACGGTACTTTGTTTTACGTAATGTACCACATAACAGGTACCCCAATGGCGCACACTTAAAATTATGGGAGTGCCTTACAGACGTACTATGCCACACCCCAAAAAGTGAGTGACAACCAGCCTTAAGTAGAATAATAGAATGCAACATCTGTGGTACTGGTCCAAAACTCTCTAGCATACATTAAACTTTTCACTGAAGGACTGAATAAATTCTGAAATAATTAAAAACTTGTTTCTACTAACTAGGGCCCAGATTAATCATTATGGATACACTTTTCAAATGATTTAAAAATTTATTGGTAAACTTTTAAAGCCATTTAAGAATATTGAACATTTATTTTAATTTTAGATTTTAATATTTTGAAGGAAATAAAATCAATTTGAAAAACAAATCTATAAATATGAAAATTGGGGCCTATGTTACTTAAACACCATAGGTTAGAAATACAAAATTGCATTCATAACTCTACAGTGTCCCTCTGCCATGCCTTTGTCTGGAAGACAGCCACTAGAGGCAGTCTTAACCCTGCAAAGTAAACATTGCAGTTTCTCTAAAACGGAAAGGTTTTCAGCCGCATGGTTAGCAACTGGGACACAGCACCCAGACCACTTCAATGAGTTAAAGTCAGGTATGGGCTGGGTGCCTATAGTGTCCCTTTAAGGTGATGGGGATTTTTAAAACAAGAATCTTACAGAGATAGGTAACCTTCGGCACTCGAGATGTTGTGGAATACATCCCTCTTGATTTGCAAGCGTTATGGCTGTAAAAGCATTCTAGGAGATATAGTCAACACCCGGAGTGCCGAAACTGGCCAACCCCTGTAACATACGGACAAGCATTACTAGTTCTGTTCTGGACCACGATGGATGAACACCCTAAGGATGCTATTATATTCAGTCAATTCTATTATAATCTTTCTAACCTATTTGGATTTTCTAAACCCATAAGCTACCAGCTACATGTAGATCACATCTGTTTGTAGTTGGAAAATGGCCAAATTAGATTGGCTAATCTCATTTATGACAAAGATTTTGTCTGTATGTTTTATGGAAGTTTCAAATTGATGAGAGAGCAAAAAAAAAAAAAAAAACAAACAAAAAAAAAAACCAACCAATATATATACAGAATATATGCACACACACATAAAATGTTACTTTTTTGTTTTATATACCAAGAATAGATCGTAAGTGACCCTCCAGGGTTTGAAGTACAACATTCTTAATTTCATGTACATTCTTTCCCAGGAACTGCTCACAAGCCACGGCCAAAAGTTCTCTCTCCGTCATAATTTTAACCTGCAAAATAAATACATTTAAATAGAAGCAAAAGAAAAGAAAGGAACAAAAAAAAATAAAAAAAAAATAAAAGAGCTGATCGGCCACAACATAAAACATGCCTAATAAGGTCCCCCTCATCCTCTGTGCTGCTAAAACAGCTATGACGCAGCATGGACAAAGATCTCTGTACGTTACCGGTGGTATCTGGCACCAAGACATTAGTAATATAAATATAGTAGAGGAAAGTGACACAATGTACCTTATAAATATCCTCCAATACAATGTCAATGTTAACATGTCTAAAGGACCGGATTCCCTAGATCAATGGTAAGAAACCATGTACAGGGAAAAGATGGACAGTGTATAACTAGTGCATATAAATATTAGATTTGTGAATACACAAATTTAGAATTTGCAGTTTTTAACCTAGAGATAAGTAAATAAATTATTTTGGATATATGCACTTGTTCGCGTATATTCCTTACTGTTAAGGAAAGTTTTTTCTTTTTATTCGCTTTTTTACACTTTTGTTGTGGTTATCACATTAAATACGTCAAAGTAACATCCACATGAAAGCAAGGACACCATGTTTCCCAGCAGAACTTTGCCCAGAGCATAACACTGCCTCTATTAGCCTGCCTTCTTCCCATATTTAATCCTGCTGCCCTCTCTTCCCCATGTAAACGGCATACACACCTTCTAACCGCCTGATCTAGAAAATGTGATTCATCAGACCAGGAAACCTTCTTCCGTTGCTCTTTGGTCCAGTTTTGAAGCTCATGTCCCCATTGAAGGCCCATTCGGCAGTAGACAGGGGTCATCAGGGGCACTCTGACTGGTCTGCATTGTGTGTTCTGACACCTTTCAGCAATTTGAGCTACAGTAGCTAATGTGTGATCGGACCAGATGGGCTAGCTTTTCCTCCCCACGAACATCAGTGAGCCTTGGGCACCCATGACCTTTATGCCGGTTGCCCTTCCTTTCACCACTTATGGTAGGTACTAATCACATAACTTGTACACCCAAAAAGACTTGCTATTTTAAAGAAGTTTGTCTAGCCATCGGTTGTCCTTCTTTGCATCACTTTTGGTAGGTACTAACCCTTGCACACATAGAAGAGCCCACTAGACTTCGTTTTAGGAGATCCTCTGACCAAGTCATCTACCCATTACTATTTGGCCCTTGTCAAAGTCACTCCGATTGTTTTGCTTGTCCATTTTTCCTGCTTCCAACACATGAAATTCAAGAACTGACTGTTCACTTGCTGCCTAATATATCCCACCAATTGACAGGTGCCATCATCACTAAAAAAAAAAATCACTGTTATTCACTATCCTTGTCAGTGGTTTTAATGTTGTGGCTGATCAATGTATATAATAAAAAAAAATAAAAAAAAAACTGCCTTGCAATCATTTGAAAAAAAGGCCAGTAACTATTGACCATGAAAATAACTAAATTATGGTGCAAGCAAGTGCATGACAGATTGAAGTTATAACATTTAATGGTTTGTTATTTTAACAGTCATGTAAAAACAGTGCCCTTATTCGACTAAATAATTCTGTAAGCCAATATTTCATCAGAACAGCAATGTTTCCAATAGGATACTTCACATTCTCGTGGGATAACAACATGTCATGGATAATACATTGTAACACAAATTAGAAGAAGAAAAAGTGGAAAAGAGCAAAAAACAGGTATCATAACACAAACAAAACAAATTTGCAACTTTACTTGCTAAAATGTCCATTTCAGCATATTGGTATTCAGATAATACTGGCATGGACTATTCGTCGTAAGAGAGTTCTTGCTGATTTGGTCTTTTTTTTTTCCACTGCCAACAGCAATATTCAAATAAGACTGTAATAAGTCATTTTTATGCACCCTTTAGGTGAGCCAATTTTTCAATTTGTGGGGTCCCAAAATTTGAAAGACATCTATACTTGTCACGTTTCACTTTACTATTGATTTTTACAGTCACACCTAAGGGCTTGCAGTAGCAGGTTGAAATCTGCCTGTAAATTGCATTGCTGTAGCAATCCAGGTTTTTATAGGAGCATATATAAAGAAAGCCCCAAATGACCCTCTCTCAGTCTAAGTTATTATTATTCACCAATACAAGCAAAATTTCAAAGAAACAACAGTGTTTGCCAAGCCGTAATTGAAAGGTTTCTTGAACTACGCTTGTATTCGTGATTAAAGAGGTTTTGGAGCTTGAATTAAGCTTTTGGATTGGAAGTTCTCCAGCAAAAATGATGCAGCCATCAGAGAAGGATTTATATCCCAGGGACCTTAGGCAGGTTACCTCCACCTTCTTTCTTCACAAAGAAATGGTTAATGGGACCCAACAAATTCATGATTCTGGGGACATTGTGAAAGTCCTGGGCCCTAGGTGGCCGCCTATGGTTGCCTTAAGGTTAATCCTGTTCTGGCAGCCATGGAGAAAAGTAATGATTGGTGAGAGTGCTTAGAATCTGCTTCTGGACATGTGAAGAAGATTTGAACATTTTACCAAACAAATAGATGGAGGAGTTTTTTTTGTTTTTGTTTTGTTTTCCAGGCACATGTTGCAGATCATTAACATTAAAAGTCACACATTATATAGTTTTGAATCTTTTCTTTGACGTGAGGGACTTTACAATAGCACACCATTTAAAGAGCGATTGTAAATTCTCTCATGACAAACTGCTTGACAAAAACCAGTTGACTCCCTAGCAACCAATGCCCTCCCTTCAAATCACTGACTGAATGAGAAAGAATTTCACTTCCTCCTTACCCGTACAAAATATTTGTACAGCGTGAGCACACAATACAATGACAGGCATTCCAAGCAGGACAACAGCAAGATTCAGCGGTGCCAAATCAGTGTGGCCATGCTAAGCTGCTAAAATGGTAACTGTGACATAGAAAAGGAGATTCAGTGCAGCCAATTAACTACACCCCCAGCGATTAAAGCTCATCAGAGAAATGTGTGCTCAAGCCATCAAATTATTTGACCAACATTTAATTCTTCATTATTCCATGAGCTGGTGAGGGGGAGGTGCCAGGGAATCCCCAGTTTTGACAAAATCCTATGCACAGACCAATTAAAACATAGTTTGTATGACTCATAGTAAGGGCACTCAAACATGCCATGTTAATCCTTTTTGTAACCATGCACTACTTCCATAAAAGTTGAAAAGAAGAGTAAGCATGGCAGCCAAGGACTGATCAAGGCAGTGTATCCATTTTGTGGAAGACAAACTGTTAACACAAAATACAGTCATATCCTGTGTAGAAGTCAATATCATGCATTTTACATGAAGAAAAAAAATATATATCTAATATATATAATAGTTACAATATAATAACTGATATTTACAACAAATGTATCGTCTTCTAAAGAAGAGGTGTGTTTAAAATATATATATTTCAAATATTAGTGTCATGTTAGCATGATTGGAATGAAAATGAAAGAGTGATAAGATGCCATCTAATGATAGCAAGAATGTGCATTTGCTAACAGAGCATAAGTTACCCACTTCGTTGATCCATTACAGTAGAATATCAGATTACACGTTTTTTACATGAATATACAAATGCTGCCAAAAATAAGGCATTTGTAATTTTAGCAATCTTCTGTATTTAAAACGTTTGTTATATTTTCAATATGAAAATTAGGATAACAGATTCATTAATGGTAGGGTCTGAGGTTGCATTCAGTTGACATGGCTCTACATGATTTTAAAACTAGTGACTTTTCCAAAAGCATGTTGTTGAATAGATTCTATAGTCAACTGACAAACCCTTGGTTTCACTTGTTAAAGACATGCCCACCTCAATGACAGTACATCACAGGTAAAATTTGCCCAGTGAGTTGCACATTCTTAGCATACCATGATGGAGCAATACTACTATAAGATCTTAAAGATCGTTTTGCAGTATCGCATTAGCAAAATGTTCTAACTTAAAAAATGGCGTGTGAATCAGAATTCTATTTCATTTAACAATCTCGATTCATTATCCCCTTTCTGCCATTATCCAAGTTTTAAGTAAAATCTTCCAACACCACATTATCCGGAATGCACCAAGTAGTTCAATGCTATAAAAGGAATTGTTTGTATAATTTAAGGAATGCATAATGCATTTTTATAACATTTATATAAGAAAGCAAGTTACATACTGGAAGAACACTTTTTTAAATGGTTTACTCCAAGCACCATAACCACTACAGCCCATTTTCTGGTAATGGGGCAAAGTTTTGTAACAGGTGACCCTGTTACATGGGCTCTCACCAGGTGCATATGGTCCATTATGGCTGGCAAGCTGCAGAAGCCAGATGCCAATCCTGACGGTCATTCACTGCCTGGGCAAATCCAACAAATACAACTCTGTACATAGAAATGTACCCCAAAGAGGCATCTGGAGTTACACATCAGACATCAAGGGGTAAAGCTTTGTATGTGCAGTGTTTCATAGCAAAACACTGCAGACAAACTCCAGGTACCGTGACCACTTTATATAACTTGTAGCTTACCAGTGTTAATTTTTGCAGCAAATTTCGTTTTATAGACAGTCTTTTGACTAAAATGCCACTTTAGTTTTAGTTGTATTTTAGTCGACTAAATCTCCACTAGATTTTAGATGACTCGACTAAAATCTAATGGGTTTAGTTACAGCCTCTGTCTCTTTAACCCTTCCCAAGCCCCTCTGTGTGTCCTCTCAGCCCCTCTAGGTGTCTCTCCCCCAAACCCTGGTCTGTCTCTTTTGCCCCTTCCACAGCATTCATTTAAATTGAGTTTTATATAGTCATAGTCTTTTCACTAAAATGCTATTTTAGTCGTATTTTAGCCATCTGAATTGTTTTAGTTGGGTAAATTAAAAAAAAACTCTTTACTCAACAAAATTATCACTGTAGCTTACACACTGCATGGAAGTGATGCTGATTTATGGCATTGTGACTCTCCTCACAGTATTTTAATGGGACCAGAAGTTGTCAAAATGCACCCATTACCTTGATGGCACACAAGTGAATGCACCTACTACTAAAATAACACTAACCTGAACTATCAGATATTAAACGGTGTAATGGAAACCCCCTCATGCCTACTGTCCCAAGAAGCTGAAAAAGGTATGTCACCTATTCGATACGGTCATGCTTCTTGAAATAAACATGTGAACAGACAAACTTATTAGCCAGTACTCCCATCTCTAATGCATTTTAGCTCATTAGAGACAGGACCTTTACAGTTTGCAAAGAAGTCCCACCAACAGTTCAGGAGCCAAAATAACCATTTGGGTATTTAATTTTTTTTCCAACCAGTTGGTAACAGCTGCTTTCTTCCAAGTTAATTAAATGTTATGTCCCTTTAATTATACAGATTAAGACACATTTTGCCATCGTTTACAACTACAGTAGGTGAATTTCTTGCCATCTGCCTTTTGATCACATGATTACAGTTCCTGTTGACATGCATTCCGAAAATGATGTGCTGTGGGTTACTGTACCTGTGCCACACCCGTGACAGTTATAGCTACCCCCTCGGCCGTCTCAACGTCCTCGCATTTTGGTTGTAACGTCAATATCTCTAGGGAAATCCTGCCAAAAAAGGTAAGACATTTGCACATTGCCAGAGAATAGATATCAGCTTCTCACCTCCCATGTTTATCCCCCCTTTGTAACCAGCAGTCACATTAACAGCAATGCTCAGCTCAGATTTGAAAAATGGCACATTTTGTCAATAAGTGGCAGTGTGAGAATGAACAATTCCAAAAAAGTATAATGGGAATTATATGCTAAAACGTGAACCTCAGCTGCTGATACGTTCAAACAATTTGTCTTTTTCTATACTAATTAGTATGTTTAAGAGACAGCTTTTACCAAGAGAAGGAGAAAAGATTATTCCAGTGTCAAAGAGGCAATACATGGTATTATTTATAAGCTGCGCTCCATAGACCACAATATTAGCCTTCAATCACCATAAAACTGCAGATTATGTAGTTATTATGGTGCAAAGAAGATGCCCCTGAAAACTTACCTACCTGTTTCCATAATACTTTATCTACCATGCCCAGATTCAGTTTTCAGGTTATGCTGACCAAGAGGCCGCCTAGGGCTTGGGCTCAGACTAGGGCCCAGAACTCTGGCTCTAAACCACACCGACTCGACTCAGCACGAAGATCAAAAAAGATCTCGCTGCACAGCGCTGTGCCTCTTCACTTCATTGATTGAGTGTGGTGGTCTGTGCCAATATCAGGTATAGATATCAAAAGGAAAAAATATCAGATACAGAGTCAGACCACTCTAAGAGTACCCTCACAGTCCCCCGGCACTTCTTCGTGACTCAAAATTAGTCACCGCCGGCTCTCAGAGTCATTGACTGAGCACCTGAATACTGGCAGAGATGGAGCGTCCCCACCAGAAAAAAACACACACACACACACCATACAACCTCTCCCAGACAGCTCTTACAATTTCTCCCCCCCACCCAACTCAGAAAGGGGTGGTACAAAGGTGGCTGAGGTGAAGCTGGAAAAATAAAATATAAAAATTCACAAATACTGCAGGGATTTACAAAAACTATTTTCAAATAGACGGATGATGTGTGTAGTACAATAGTAAACCTCAACAAAAAGGTTTTGGGGATATTACCATTTAATCTATCACACCAAGTTGGGCATTACTACCGTAATTAAATCATATTACAGAAGAACCATTTCTCAATGTTTCTTTGGAAAGACTGCATTATTTCTACAGCAAACTACAAATTACAGATAGAATACACAAGTATTCCCTAAATAAAGGATACTAGACATTAAGCTTGCAAAGCAGCTTAAAAAGCATGCTTACTTACTAAGAAAGAAAACCACACAGTTTATCTCAAACTAAAATCCATGAGAAACCTTTCAAAGGTGGAAGGTCTACTTTAGCTTGAGAAAACAGTGTTCACTCAAAATCATGACTCGCCTGCTAAAAAAAAAAAAAAAACCCAAACAAAAATAAAACTATTTGGTGCTCTTATCCTGAAAATGCCAAAAACATTTAAAAAACAAACAAACTAAAATTTGTATATAAAAAACAAACTAATCAGTTCTTTTTTTTACCCAGTAAGGGGTTAGGTATTGTTTCATATTGGTGCCAGTCTGTATAAAATAACTTGTTAAAATAATACTACTACTATTACTACTACTACTAAAAGCATTTGCCATTATCCTCCCAACTAGATAGAAACGGCCCACTGAAAATGTGGATTTCCTTTCTATGTGTTAAGGATTTGACGACGGCTCCCATAATGCTCTGTTAACAGCCTTTCTGTCAAAAGTTACTGATCCCAATCGGTTTGTACAATCCAGTGATTTAAAGGAGAAGCAATATGCCTCGGTTTCCACATTGCGCTGGTTATAACAATTATTATATTTGCACCTAACAGTTTTTTGTATTTGCAATTTTATTGGGGGTTTGCATGAGGACATCTAAGTTTGGAGTGGCAATAGTGATTGTATAGAAATCATTGAAGCGCCTTTAACACTTAAAGGAACACTATGGTGTTAGGCAGTGGTGTATCCTGGTTTTGTGCTGCCCTAGGCAGGACAAAACTCAGGCGCCCCCCTCCCCCCGCGCCACCCCCACCCAACCCTTGCCCCCGCCCCACCTTCTAAATACACACACACACACAAACACACACACACACACAGTCAGTCAGACACAAACACACACACACAGTCAGACACACACACAGTCAGACACAAACACACACACACACAGTCAGACACAAACACACACACATACAAACAGAGACACACACAGTCAGACACAAACACACACACATACAAACAGAGACACACACAGTCAGACACAAACACACACATACAAACAGAGACACACACAGTCAGACACAAACACACACACATACAAACAGAGACACACACACACACACAGTCAGACACATACACAGACACAAACACACACAGTCAGACACAGTCACACACACAGTCAGACACAAGTCACACACACAGTCAGACACAAGTCACACACACAGTCAGACACACACACACACATTAACTTTTTTTTTTTTAAATTTAAATCCCCCCCAACCTCCTTACCTTTGGGAGTGCTGGGGGGGAAGTCTATCTCTACCTGGTGGTCCAGTGGCTGCCGGTCAGGCGGGCGGCTGACGAGGGAGCACTTCCTCTGAGCTGACTGCTCAGCTCCCTCACGCGCCGCAGAGTGAGGCTGGGAGCCGGAAGATGACGTCATATTCCGGCTCCCAGCCTCACTCTGCGGCGCGCGAGGGAGCTCAGCACTCAGCTCTGGGGGGAAGTGCTCCCTCGCCAGCCGCCCGCCCAGCGCTGCCCGCCCGCTCGGGATGTCTGTTAGCCACAAGGCTAACAAGGCATTTGCCCTGGGCATTTGGGGGGCGGCGTTTTTTGCCGCCCCCTGAAAAATGCCGCCCAAGGCAAATGCCTTGTCAGCCTTGCGGCTAATACGTCCCTGGTGTTAGGAATACAGTTTCGTATTCCTAACACCATATAGTGTTCATCTGACCGTGCTGGCAAATTAAGGGATTAAAACCCTTTTTTTCACTTACTTGATTCCAGTGCCGAGGTACCCCAGCACTCGACTGGGCTCCACTTCCGCAAATGTCACAGTGATCTGGAAACCAAACATGCATGTGTGGCATGTGTGGCAAGTGTCGCAAGCGCACTAGGCCTTCCCCATAGGGAAGCATTGAATCAGTGCTTTCCTATGGTGTTTTCCCAAATCCAGCCTAGTTTCACAAGGTTAAAGTACCTGTGAATCGAGGAGACAGCCACTAGAGGCAGTGTAAACCTTACAATGTAAATATTTTCAGCTGCATGGTTAAAGGGACAGGGACACTTCACACAGACCACTTCAATGAGATGAAGACATTTAGTTGCCTAGTCTGTCTCTAACTGTATTTGTTACTTTTATGAATGGGTTTTAGAACAACCCCTACTCATCAAGCTCACAGCGGACAGAGAAAGCTTCCACAGGGATGCCTTCGTCTATGCGTTCATGTGAGAAGCATTCTATTGGGCAATCACGGCTTATGCATTTGCCGATGGCCAACTCGTGCCACCGATATTCTCCCCAGGCTAGAGTGGAGACATGCAGATGGAGAAAAAGTTGAGCATCCTTAAAACGCAAAATCATTTATAAAAGAAACAAAACAAAATACTTTGCAACTTTGCTAACAAATGTGTAAGTTAAGATGGCTATTTTTGGGAGATTTTACTCAAATTTAGATCTGGCAACATCAACTAAAATGGGTGAATAAATAAATGGATACCATAGCATGGACACTTACTATTAAATAAATGGACACTTACGATTGTAGTAGTTATGGTGCAAGGACTCTATAGACCCAGCTCCTAAAAGTTTTTGTAAACTTCTTTTCATTTCGCAGAGGCATGTGTCAATTCATGTGACACTTACTATATAGCAATAAGATAATGTACAACATTTTTGGGATAACTGTTGATGATTTCCTTTTTCTTGTATTCAGTTACTATTCCCAGATCTATGCAACCACATACAGTCAACTTACCCAATACACAGCCAAATGAGGAAGAAAAAAATAAGTTGCACAATCAGACAAATAAAAAATGAAATGCTCCAAATCAGTAATCAAAGTAAAAGTGCAAAAGCTAAATCTAAATAATTTTATGATTCGTTTTACTCAATGGGCAGCCACTCTCAGCCCATCACCGGGTGCCCAACAAACCTTCCTAATACTGCAGTGTCCACAAATAAGGAAGCCAGCGGTGCCTGGTGTCATGGGTGAAACTTTAATTTTAAAACCATTGGGATGGCGTCCAGACACTTTCTCCCCAATTAACTTCAACGAGCCAAGTTTAACAACCTCCAATGAAGTCACATAAGCATTGCAACAAATGATATATGTATAAATTGACAAGGGAATACGGCTACATTTTACACAGATTAAATGTTACCAAATATATTGCATTAAAGAAGACATATTATATATAAGTTTGGTAATTGACTCGAAAATACTACAGCTATGCCATCAATCTGTTGCAAAAAGACTGATTGCAAAGTATATACACATTTCCACAGCAATGGATAATGGGAAAAAAGTTTGTATTTGGCATTGTTGCTGAACGGGCATCAATATTAACATGCTTTGATTATAGTACCAACATACTCCTAAACGCCAGTATAAAAACAAATAATGCTTTATGATAGAAAAAAAGAATGAGGAGAAACGATAAAAAAAAAAAAAAAAAAAAAAAAAAAAAAAAAGGTACTTCCCTCCTCCCCCCCCCACCACTACCCAGATTTACCGCTGTGCGCAGTCTTTTTCCTAAGCTTTTTTTGCCTTTCTAGTTTCTCTCAGCTAATGTCTCATACATCTCTCTCCAAGTTGCCATCTCCCCCCCCACAGTGTCTATCCAACTCAGACTGCACGTGACTGTTCTCAATCTCACCGTCTCTTCCCTGCCATTTCTCTCACACTTTCGCCTTCCCATTTTTCATAAATCCAAGTAAAATGTACACAGATTAATAGAGCAAGGGTAAGAAAAGACAAGAAGATGCACTAATAATTAGTTTTGTAACTTGTCTGTGTGCATTAGAGAAACAAATGCATACAAGGCTACATTACACAATCTATTTCAATAATAAAAAAATAAAAAATTACAAAAAGTTTTACTTTAAAACCAACTTCTGTTAAATGATTGTCCTACCAAAGTTCCACTACAACATGATAAACCATTAGCGCCTGTATGAAATCAATTTGTTTTGAGGCTAGACGGATTTAAAAAAATAAATAAAAAACCATCTACATAGAGCTTCACATTGCAAACAAGGTGACTGCTGGCTAAGTTAAAGAGGGTGAACAATATGGGAACGAAAGTTGATATTTTGTTAATATTAGTGGGAAAAGAAGTTAGTGAAGGATCCTCTTGATGCTGTAGCTGCGTTCAGAAGAAAAAAAAAAAAAAAAGAATGAATCGGAAGAGAAATGTTAGGAAGCTGGGAATTTATTACCTGTGCAACCCCTGTCACGTACAGAGGGACCCCCTCCGAAGTCTCAATATTCTCACAGCGACAGAGGATTGTCATAACCTCAAATGACAGTCTGAGCAGCATTAAATAAGGGGGAGGAGGACAGCAAATACACAAAGTGGTTACCAGAAAGTTAAAGAAGTTCACCACAAAAAACAGGGTTGTGTGATTCGGATTTTAAGAAAATGGATTAGCCATGCAGTGTGATCAGACTTTAGGTTGGAGGTGGGTAAAACTGTAGTATAGAAGGAGTGATACAACTGCACACAGAGTGAAAGGTGACTTCATGTAAGTTAAAGGTCCTTGAACCACCTGCATTTTGGGACTCAAATATGCAGCCAGTTGTGTAACCTGCTTGGAAACCCAAGAGGAACTTCGTCTTCTCATGGTAATGATGCACAGGTTTCTTTTAATTATTTCAAAGCCTCCTTACCTTTAGCCCTTATACAATTATAACTCAATACACGGATGCAGAGCAACTATAGCTCATCAGCAGCAGCCAGGCTGCAAATCTCATCACTTTTAGTCTACCAAAAATGATTAAAGTGTCACGGTCATGATTTTTGTTTCCTTTTGGTTTTCATTTCCTTATGCCCCCTGTATCTTCATTATACTCCCACCCATGCAACTTTCCTTTATTTATATTAGTTTTTTTCTTGCGCTGAATCTCAACATCTGAATGCAGCCATTTTGTTCTCCTCTGCCGATAAAGTCTTCTGTTTACCCTTCAGTGAGACTGATTTTACCGATTGATTGTGGGTAAATTTGACTGGCAACTGTAACAGAATCTTGTTCTAAGCCCCACCAATTGTCAACTTGACTGCTATACATAAGAAAAATAGTCCCTACTTGTCCTGATTTATTTTATGGAAAACTTGAGCACCCAGGAAAAAGAAACAGATTCAGACAAGAATCTGTACAGAAACAATTTAAACAAAAGTTTATTTTTGGAGATAGAGCCGCTTTAAGTGTGAACGGAGTTGTGTCCTAAACCAAGTTCCACAAAACCATAATTAACTGCTTTACTTAACTTGCTGGAATAATGAATTACCAGTATTCTGATTCCATACAGACTGTCCATCTCTCACGCAATACCAATAGTTTAAAAAAAAAAAAAAATTAAAAAAAATTACACAATACAGCAACACAATGTCCAAAGCACAAACATGAATGGAAAACTAGGTACCTCTTCCACTGCAGGACATTGCATAATTGAGAGTAAATAGAATTATAATAAACTTCCTACTTAGCTCACTACTTGAGAAATCCTTTAAGGAATTGTTTACGTTTTTTGTTTATAGGTTTGAATTTCAGTTATCTATTGATATTAATAATGTACTTCAGCCCCCCCACTCCTGAGCAGTGCAGGGAAGTGAAATGGTACATATCACTAGGTATCTGCTAAAAGGCAACAAATAAAATGCCAAAAGTTGGATAATACTATTAAAAATGTCTGCTGACAAATTAAAAATTCAAATTTAAAAAAATGGAGATGCCATCTTAGAGTTACCATTTTTGGAACGAAAATGGGTAACTTAAGGTTTCAGTTAGTAGACACTAAGGAGAACGGGGTCCCTCTCCGTATACTTTATCTAAAAAAATAAAACACCAAAAAAAATAATAAGACAAAAACAAAAGCTTAATTAAAAAAAACAAACAAAACAAACAAACAAACAAACAAAAACATTCAAGCAAGTAAGAATCTGTGGAGCCATAACCATAACATTAGGTTAGTTGAGCTCAGGTAAAATTAAGAATTAAATAAATAAACCACACCACAACCAAAACCTTATAAAACCATATATCATAAAGAAGATAAATAAATAAATGTAAAATGCTGATGTTAAAAACCTGAAAATGGGCAAGCAAATCTATAATGATAGGCTGAAGGCCTTTTCTTTTTCTGTATAGCAACAAATTATGAATGTCACAGAATTACAAATCATCATTACAAAAGCAAAAATCTTAAAAGTACAAGTTAAAGCAGATAAAGTTAAATGGGAATCTACAGACACCCAGACCACGTCATTGAAATTAAGTGCCCCATGCCCCTGTCTTTTTAACCCTGTAACTGAAAACATTGCTGTTCTGGAGGAACAGCAATATTTTTGATTGCAGGGTTAACATGCCCCCAGTTGTCAGGAAGATCGCCACTGGAGGCAATTTCGCAGCTATAATAGAGTTCAACTTTGCTATCGATCAAATGACTCTCCTAGAGCATTTGCCATCATATGCACACAAGCCTCACAATGATGGGGAAGGCATTAGATTGGCTGAGATCGAGGCAGAAGACGGCGTGGCATCACAGACTAGCGCACGGCAGGATGTAAGGTATATAAACCTTACTTGGGTGGGGGGAACACTACAGTGTTGGGAATACAAACAGTGTTCCTTTAAATGAGAACTCCAAAATGACATACTTGCATATATATTTATAATGTTCGTGTTGGTTTTTATTTAGGGCACTCCACTATTTCTCTAATTAAATAAGTTACTTTCCTCTAATCCAGTGGCAAGGCAGTCTGCTCCATCCTTCGCTCTGCCTCCTTGGCTGACATCAAAATTGACTATTTTAGCCAATGTAATGCTTTCCCATAGGGAAGCATTGGGAGGCAATTGCACATGCGTGGCAAAATACAAGGTTAATCAGCATCTCCTCATAGAGATGCATTGAATCAATGCATCTCTAAGGACCGATCAACGATTCCATGCGGGCATGGAGACTGAATGTGATCCAGGAAGCAGTCTGAGTGATTGCCACTAGAGGTGTTCATGGGCAGTACTGAAAACACTGCCTTACCTCTGAAAAGACAGTGTTTACATTAAAATGCCTGCAGGCAGTGGCGTACACACAATCCATGGGGCCCTGGTGCCCTTGCCGAACTGATATGCACTTGCTATGATAAACTTACTACGCTACAATGCAGTCAATGTTAGCATACTAGAACCAACCTGAAATGTAAAGCTCATTCTGCATTATACAGATATTATTGAAATCTGTGCAGTTTTCCTCCAAGATGCTTAAGATACTTTACCTTTTGAAGGTCTGCATGTGTGAAATAAACCCAGGGGAAAGCACCAAATGAATCTACTCTAAGTAGGCAGGATAAAGGCAGTGCATGTGCAGGACATACAAGAAACACATGTAACTTAGTGTACACCACAAACCAGTGATACCAGATTACAAAGTCTTTTCAATAATTCTTGTGGATGGCACAAGGTGATGCTTTGAACAAACAGGTATCTACAGAATTAGCGCAAAAATAATAAAATACAGCCTATTTTTTACTTTATATACAAAATGGCACTCATATGAAACAAAGAAGAATTTTACAGTTCTAAGTGTCAATGCAAGTCTAGTAAAAAATAATAAAAAGGAAATACAAAAATCCATACCACTCCTATCTAGAAAAGAAAAAAAATAAATAAGAAAGAAATATTAGAAACGCAAAGCATGGACTCCCAAACATTGAGCATGGGGTCATGTGTATCCGGAGGTGTATATACTGCTTGATATTACTGAGCAGTAAGGAACAAAATCTTTAAGATTTTGTAAGACAAAAAAAAAATCAGGACTGTTAACCAAATGTATTCATTTGTAATAGCTACTGATTTTACGGCAAAATATTACCATTTTACTTATTTTATTTGTAATTTCAGTAATTTGTTCTACAGTGGAAGAGCGTGCACATAGGATGCGTCTGTTATGGAATGAGAATTTCACAAGGTGAGCAAAAATAAAAACAACAGATTTAAAAGGCTACTCACTAGATGTAAAGCAAACAACATGCAGGACTTTTGTAGACCACAACACTTGAATCACCAGATCTTGTCTATACTCAGCTAAGAGATTTGCATTTGTTTTCATGGCCACCCAGTTATTATAATGTAGATTGAAATTTAGTGCGCTATCATTTTACAGTGCAAGTGACAGGTTAACTTTGCCTTTTCTTTATAAATTTAACTAATGCAAGCTGGTGGTGGCAATAGTATTTTAACCAGAAAAAATAATAATTAAAAATACAAATCTTGGCATTCAAACTAATGCTTTTAAGAAACTGCAGCAATTTCCTTCACACTGTGGTTTATAGATGTACTGCAAGTAAAATTATAGCACCTGGGGAAGCATTGAAAACATGTGCCAAGAAATTGGTAGTTCAGATCACTAGTAATTGCAGACTTCCAGTAATGCTGTACCTAAGGGACTACAGCTGCTCACCGCAGACAAGAGAAGATTTGATGATCAGGGAGTGTACGCCTTTGAGATGTTGCTTTAAATCTTAGAGCAGTTTTGGCTAATGAGTACATAGATTTTTAAAGCAAGCATCAGGTGAAAGCCACAAAAACTGAATCTGGGTGCAATGGAACGGAAGTGGATGCTTAGGGTTGGAAATTATAAAATATAAGAAAAGTGAAGAGGTTGTAAAAAGACTGAGAGTTCAGCACCGAATCACAAAATATCAATTTAAAGGAAAAGAAAGCTGAATGAATTTGTGCATGCTCAAAATCTTCAGTCAGAGGTGCTACAACATTCAATAACACACCAAAGGACAGCACAGATCAAAATATTACATTTTTAATCAAGAGATGGAACAGGTCATGCATATAAACATTCATAAAATCAAACTAAAGGTACAAATTGGACACAGATTTGTGGCCTACTAGCAGGAATGACGTTCCGTTTTTGTGATATTGTCTTGGTTTGTACCTTTAATAGGATTAAAGAAAAACTCTTAAAGGAAAACTGTCAACATGTGTGAACTTGCATCACTAGTCGCTGGCTGGTATGCCTGCCGGCTTGTTATCCCACCGATTACCAGAATGGTTACTGAAAAGGCTGACAAAAACGGCAGCCGTCTGGAGTAGTTATAGTACACTGGACAAAAAGCTTTTTCTTTTATAAGCCGCTATAAAAATATCCTTAAGAAAGTGTTTGATAAGCTGACCAGGAGTTCGTGAAAGCCCAATATAAACTCTTGTATATAAGCAACAGGACTATCCGACAGTTCTTGGTCCTTGCTTACCATTATAAAATATTAAAAGTTTGACATTTATTGTGAGAGTTTTGTTTACTTTGCTGAACTGCTCACTTTACAGAATTCCTTCAAAATGTGATATTTTAAAAGTGAGCTTTTGATGAACCCAACAGATTATTTTACCCCAAGCAACCCAAAGAACAAAATATGTTGAATAGAATTGGAATGTAGATTTATATAAAACTTTGACAGTTTTCCTTCATAAAAAAAAAAAAGAAAAAAAAAAAAAAAAAGAAGCTATGTTTAATTTAAAGCAGTTACTTACCGCTGTGTATCTGAAATACACCACCATGCCCAGGCCCAACCTCCAAATACATATTGCTTGTCATCGTTTCCACAGCAACCACCTGGAATTGGGGAAACACAAAATTTACTTGGGGTATTCTAGCAAAAGCACAAGGCTGTCAACGGATTTATATATTTTTGTTCAATTGTGATGCATTGCCTTGTAATTACAAATTTAATACATTTATATTCTGTAAGAGGTGGATTCCACCTATACATTTACCATCTGAACAAGTCATCACTCCAAACAGCTGTTCGTCATTCAGTCACTGATAGCACAAAGATGATCTTGACCCTTCATATGTCTCAGGTTTATATTTTTAAAATCAATTTCAGTAACATCCCAAACATACCTAAGCACTTTAGCTCGATAGTGTGTCTACTATTTTTTTTTTTAATTTTACAAAAGATTAATTTTTCAATCGGAATTGGCATTTTTACAAATTAACTTTGTTACGTCCACTCGACACCCTCGGCTGGCAGACAACAGGTCCAGTTAGCTTAGTGGAGTCAAACTCAAGAGACAGAAATTGCCTAGAGCACCTGCCTTGCAAAGACTTCTCATTGAGCTACATTGGGAAGTCTGTGATTGGACAGCCACGAAAGTCTAGGCTGGGAAAGAAGGGGATGGCTTGTAAACGCTTCAGATAAGAGATCTGAAGCTTTTGCAAGCTGTTTTTATATATGCCAGTAACGAAACAAAAAAGTGCACAATTAGATGCACTCATGTTTTCATTGGGGGTTATATCTACTAAATTGTGAGATATAGATAGATATATATATATATATATATATATATATATATATATATATACACACACACACACATATATATATACACACACACATATATATATACACACACACACACTTTATTTGTATTTTAAATTTGGGCAGTAGAGTGTCCGTTTACTTTCTGCAAGAACAGCATTGGCAATAGCACCAGGTGTGAATAGGTTTCCATATAGCAAAGTTCCTGAAGATGCCATGTCTCCTAGCTACTCAAAAGGGTTTTGTGCTTATGGGCAACATGTTCATAAAAATCAACATTCGACATTGTTATAGGAACACTCCAAACACCATAATCACTACAGCACACTAAAAAGGTTGTAGTGCCAGGTGTGCCCTGGCTCTTCACCATGTAAGCAAACTGTTTTAGAACAGTGTGACCTCATATCTGGTGTCAGCCAGGGGCCACACTCCGCCCCCACTACTTTTTTAACTAACCGCCAAGGCTCTTAGAAATTCTGAAAAAAAGAGTTTATGGTGCTCAGACGGACTCGTTTAAGGTTATGGTATTCGGATATATCCAATTTTTTTTATGGCCATAGCCTTTTAACCAAACGCGAAAGATACATCATACATCACAGCTGCCCTTTAAACGGACACTCTAGGCAGCTAAACAAGTTGGCTTAAATTAAAGTCAAACTCAAAGACCCGTGGTTAGTTTCTTTACTTCCAATTCTGTTTAGTTTTCCTGCAGTGCTGTAAAATGTTTTGCGGTTTTCAGCAGTGTAACCCAGTCTCCTTAGCCACCCCCACTCAAATCTCAACATGTTCCCGATTCCCTATCTCTAAAAGAAGAGTACCTTTTGCAGCAAATTAAAATAGAGTTATGCCTTCTGTAGTGTAAAGAATGCTCACAGCACAGACTGCACTGCAGATACAAGGCTAAAGCCCATATGTGCTACACGGTCACTCTCCCTGTAATGCAAGTATTCTTGTCCAGCCTCCCTACCCCCTGTTAAAGGGACACTCCAGGCACCCAGACCACTTCTGCCCATTGGAGTGGTCTGGGTGCCAACCCCCACTACCCTTAACCCTGCAGCTGTAAATATTGCTGTTTTCATGTGCCCTTTGGATTTAGCTGCTATTACGGCGTCAGTGACTTTAATAAGAGCAGTCTCAGTAGAGTGGAGGGGGAGGAAGCCAGACTGAAGAGGGTCAAGGAGAGAGTTGGAATTGAGGAAGTGAGACATATGGGTAAAGACAAGCCTTTACAGAAGCTTTGAGAAAAAAGGAAGCAGGGATATGGGACGATAGACGGGGAAGACGGGTCAAGAGATTTTTTTATTTTAAGATGGGTACTACGGTAGCATGTTTAAGGGCAGCAGGGAAAGATATGTGTTAAAGGAGCACTATAGTGCCAGGAAAACACACTTGTGCCCCCACCCTCAGGCCCCCCCCCCCGGGCTCTAGGGGGTGGAAGGGGTTAAATTTACCTCTTTCTCCAGCGCCGGGTGGGGGACTCTCCTCATCGGCTGAATGTGCATGCGCGGCACGAGACGCGCATTCAGCCAGCCCATAGGAAAGCATTCACAATGCTTTCCTATGGATGCTGGCGTCTTCTCATTGTGAAAATCACAGTGAGAAGCGCCTCTAGCGGCTGTCAATGAGAGCCACTAGAGGCTGGATTAACCCTATTATAACCATAGCAGTTTCAGTTTATAGAAAAAAGGGTTAATCCTAGCTGGACCTGGCACCCAGACCACTTCATTAAGCTGAAGTGGTCTGGGTGCCTATAGTGGTCCTTTAAGGAAGGCATAAGACAAGAAGAGAGAGATTTGATAAGGTGAGAAAGGACAGGATCAAGCGGGGCAAGTGGCGGGGTGAGAGGAAAGGAGAAGTGCAGCCACCTCTTGTTCAGTAGAATGGGAGAAAGTCTGAAGGGTAGGAAAGACATGACCTAGGTTTGGTTTAGAAAGAGAGGGGCAATTTGGGGAGAATTCTTTCATTAGCTCTTACTTTGGCCATTGGCCACAGAGCTCAGGGAAAATAAGTATTTAGTGACACAAGTTTACTGTTGGTTGGAGGGGGACGGGGGTAGATATGCATTTTTTTTCTATAAAGTTCCTTTAAGACACATTTCCCTACAATTTTAAATAAGTTAAACATACACACAAATAAAAACCCAATGGTAAAAGCTACCAAAGTTCTTTAAAGGACCACTATAGGCACCCAGACCACTTCAGCTCAATGAAGTGGTCTGGGTGCCAGGTCCATCTAGGTTTAACCCTACAGCTGTAAAGATAACAGTTTCAGAGAAACTGCTTTGTTTACATATGGGTTAATCCAGCCTCTATTGGCTGCCTCATTGATTTTCACAGTGAGATGACGCCAGCGTCCATAGGAAAGCATTGAGAATGCCTTCCTATCGACTGGCTGAATGCGCGCGCGGCTATTGCATTTAGCCGATGACGGGGAAAGGAGGCGGAGAGTCCCCACCGCCAAGGGAGCCTGGCGCTGGAGAAAGGTGAGTGTTTAACCCCTTCCTCCCCGTTCAGCCCGGCGGGAGGGGGGGACCTATTAACACTATAGTGCCAGGAAAATGAGTTTGTTTACCTGGCACTATAGTGGTCCTTTAACCCCTTAAGGACTGGACTGTTTTTGCGATGTTGTACATTTGCGACCAGGCATATTTTTACACTTTTGTGGTGTTTGTGTTTGGCTGTAATTTTCCGCTCTCTCATTTACTGTTCCCATACAAATTATATATTGTTTTTTTCAGGACAAAAGGGGCTTTCTTTACATACCATTATTTATATAATCTCATGTATTTTAATTTAAAAAAAATACAAAAATCGGATGAAAAATTGAAAAAAATACATGTTTTTTGACTTTTACTTGAAAAATCTTTTACTCATCTACAAAAGCGAATGAAAAAAACTGCTAAATAGATTCATAATTTTGTCCTGAGTTTAAAAATACCTAGTGTTTACGTGCTTTTTTGCTTTTTTTTGCATGTTATAGGGCTATAGGTACAAGTAGGATATTGCGGTTTCAAAACATACATTTTTAAAATTTATCAATAGTGACATTGTAACACTATTATCTGTCATAAATCTCTGAATAACACCACACATGTACATATTTTTTTTAAAGTAGACAACCCAGGGTATTCAATATGGGGTATGTCCAGTCTTTTAGTAGCCACTTAGTCACAAACACTGGCCAAAGTTAGCATTTATATGTGTTTGTGTGTTAAAAATGCAAGAAACAATTATGAACGCTAGCTTTGGCCAGTGTTTGTGACTAAGTGGCAACTAAAAAAGACTGGACATACCCCATTTGCAATACCTTGGGTTGTCTTCTTTTGCAAATGGTATGCCATCATGGGGGTAATTCTCATTCCTGGGCTACCATACACTCTCAAAGGCAACGTAACCAACCTGGCCATTTTCAATGTAAAAATATTTGACCCATATATTTGACCTTGTAACTTTCAAAATGCTATAAAACCTGTACATGGGGGGTACTGTTTTACTCGGGAGACATCGCTGAACACAAATATTAGTGTTTAAAAACTGGAAAACGTATCACAACAATTATATCATCAGTAAAAGTGCTGTTTGTGTGTGAAAAATGCAAAAAAAGTAACTTTCACTGACAATATCATCGCTGTGATAGGTTTTACTGTTTTGAATCACTAATATTTGTGTTCAGCGAAGTCTCCCGAGTAAAACAGTACCCCCCATGTACAGGTTTTAGGGTGTCGTAGAACGTTACAGGGTAAAATACAGTGCTAGCAAATTAAATTCTCTGGAATTTCGGCCTGGGTTGGCAGGCAGGTCCCTCAAATTGCAATCAATAAAATTACTGAATTATGTAAAAATATTACATAAATACGCACGTAGAATTTAAATATATATGCATATTTAGATATTTGAAGTCTACGTGCATATTTATATAATTATTTATGTAATTTTGTATATGGACGTATGTATATTTCTTATTATTTTTATTTATTTTTATATACATAGATATATATACAAATTCATTCTAAGTCTATTTTGATATAAATATATATATTAATTTTAAAATACAGTTAGAATAAAATTTCATATAGCTATATAATTATTTTAAAAAATTTTATTATTATTTAAAAAAAATTTTATTTAATTTAAATTATTTATATTTTATAATAATATATATATATACACAATATATATATATATATATATATATATATAGTTATATATATTATATATATACACGTGTGTAATTTAATTATAAGTGTATTTTTATATTAATATAAGTACATATTAATATAAAAATACACTTAGTATGGCATATATATATATGATATATAGACATATATTATATAAATATAATATATGTCTATATATCATATATACACACATATATAATTATTTTATTTTTTTTAATTAACACTAACTTTATTTTTTTTTTTGATTTTACACATGCAGGGAGACTGCCTGTCAGCACAGACAGTCCCCCTGCAGGCAGACACATGGACACCTATTGTGACCATGTGATCGCTGTGTTAAGCGATCACATGGCCACAGGGGTCCTAATTCAGTGTGGGAGACTGTCTGGGCTGCAGGCAGTCTCCCCACAACCGGAGCCACGCTGATCGCCGCCGGGGGAACGACGGCGATCAGGTAAGTAGCTCTGACCGTTAGGACGGTTCAGGACCGTCATCGGTCCTCAAGGCAAAAATGCCGATGACGGTCCTGAACCGTCCTCGGTCCTTAAGGGGTTAAGAGGGAATCTTCCAAGTATCATAATCACTGCAGCTTATTGTGGTTGTTAAAAATAAATAAATACAGAAGTGAAAACCTCTTTGCACTTACCACATTCCATTCTAAGAGCTAAATGTTGGCTTAGCAGAAAGTCGACAAAACACTTTCCATGAGGAAGTTTTGGTTCCTTTTAGAATAGACCACGTTCTTGTGGAGTGAAGTGTATGTAGGAGGTTGCATTGCATGTATAAAATACATGTATACTTAAATATAGCAAAGCTTTTAGAAAACAATTTCTGCAAGACAGTGTTTAACCCCTTACGGATGGCGTGCGTTCTATGCTGTCCTTAAGGAAGCGGCTCTAAACGCCGCAGGGCGGCATAGAACGCCCAAACCGTCCTTTGTACTTACCCGGTCGCCGGCGTTCGCGGTATGGGGACTCACCCTGCTTCCTCTTCGGCCACCCTGGGCCATGTGATCGCGAGGTCCTTGCGAGGACCTCACGATCACATGGACGGCATAGCTGTCCAAGGCATTGCCAGCAGGGGGAGTGCCTGTTATGACAGGTACTCTCCCTGCTGTCTGAAAATAAAATAATTAAATGTTAAAACAGTGTAAAATAACATCTATACTTAGATTATATATATATATATATATATATATATATATATATATATATATATATATATATATATATATATATATATATATATACACACACACACACACAGTCTACGTGTATTTTAATATATACATAATTCTATTAATATCAAAATACACGTACAATGATATTGATTATATATAATTTTTATTATATATATATATATATATATATATATATATATATATATATATATATATATATAATAAAATAAATAAATCTGTAAATACGTTAAAAAAATTAATATATAGATATCAAAATACATGTAGAACTAAATATATACCTAAGTATATATCTCTTTCTCTATTTTATATATATAATAGAGAAAGAGATATATACTTAGGTATATATTTAGTTCTACATGTATTTTGATATCTATATATTAATTTTTTTAACGTATTTACAGATTTATTTATTTTATTATATATATATAATAAAAATTATATATATTTAATCAATATCATTGTACGTGTATTTTGATATTAATAGAATTATGTATATATTAAAATACACGTAGACTGTGTGTATGTATATATATATATATATATGTGTATATATATGTGTATATATGTATATATATATATATATATATATATATATATATATATATATATATATATATATATATATATATATATATATATATATATATATATAAAAATAATTTAAATTACCTACCTTTAAGTGTTAAACCACTTTTGAATGCTTTAGCATTAAAAGGGACACTATATGCACCACTTTAGCTTAATGAAGCAGTTTCAGTGTATAGATCATGCCCCTGCAGTCTCACCGCTCAATTATCTGCCATTTAGGAGTTAAATCACTTTGTTTATGCAACCCTAGTCACACTTCCCTGCATGTGACTTCCACAGTCTTTCTACACATTTCTTGTAATTAGAGATCTAATGGTGAAACTTTCTTTATTGCACATTCTGCTTAATTTATCATTTCTTAACGCCCGCTCTGTTAATAGCCTGCTAGATCCTACAGGAGCCTCCTGTGTATTTAAACTTCAATTAACAGAGCAGGACATAAAAACCTCCAATTAATTTAACCGCTGAACCCTTTAGATGTAGTGTATCAACAACGTGGAATACCAAAAGTTGCACAAAACTTTAAATTAGCAGAGTGTAATGTTTTCCTTTTTTTTTTTTTATAAAAGCAAGTTTTAGTTTTTTGGTATACATACACTAGTTTCTACAGACAGTAAACAGATTATAATAGTAAGGAGCAGGTGTGCTTGTGTGTGTAGAGTTGGTGTTTGTATATCATTTTAGCGTTTTAATACAGAGGTGTGTTTGCATGTAATGTTTACATGAAAGTAGCTCCAGTATATTGCTCCTGGGCTCATTTAAAGGATTATACCAACCACCATGACCACTACAGATTTTAGAAGTGGTCATAGTGGTAGGAGTCTGTATGTGCAGATTTAGCTTGAAGCATTGCACATTCAGAGATATTTGGAATTGTGTGCGGGGGGCTTGTTACACCATCAACCCCGAACTGACAAACTGTACTGTATATTATAAGTCTGTCATCAGGGCGCTGGCAACAGATGGGGCCAAATACCATGGGGAAGTTTGCTCTGCCTGCCCACCATTCATACATCCTTGAAGTCACTCACACGTACAATGATATTGATTAAATATATATATATATAATATAAAATAAATCTGTAAATACGTTTAATTAAAAAAAAAAAAAAAAAAAAAAAATATATATATATATATATATATATATATATATATATATATATATATATATATATATATATATATATATATATATATATATATATATATCTATCTATCTCAAAATACACATAGAACGAAATATATATACATATGTATATATCTCTATATACATATGTATATATCTCTATATACATACACACACACATATACTTTACAGATGGTTTTTATTTAAAATTGTAGTGCTACCCTCCCTGTGCTCACTATTTCTTCCTCCCTTCACCAGCCATGAGTGCGCATATAATTGGTCTGCATGAGAACGTTGGAAAGAGGCGCTCTGGGAGTAAAGTCAAGAGGGATGCAAGTGTAGGCACACGTAAATATACTTTAAGCATTGGGGAAGATAGGTAAATGTGCATTTAAATTCTTGTAACGGAAAAAAATATATACAGAATATAAACAGTAAAACATTCTCGGTTGATATCATTAAAGTATTACAGTTGGGAGAGGTTGATATTCTAGTGAGGTGCCATGGGGATTCATGTGTTTACACAAATTGCCTTTCAAGCAACATAGGTTATTTGTGCTGCAATAATTGGTAGATAAGTATTTCTTAAAGGGATATGTAGAACTATTTGTGTTGTCTACTACAGTAATAATGCACCCTCCTCTCCTCCAAAAAACATGGTTTACTTTATAGGAAAAGTACAGTTGTCTGATGGGAGCTCACCACAAAGGAAGTGGGTGTCAGTGGAAATGAGTTAAGTTGTAAACAGTTCATGAGAACTAAACATGATCAATTTAAAAATTAAATATGGCAATCATGGAATTTCTAACTTTAACACAACACAACTGGCTCAGATTAAATCAAGTGCTGTATTTATGTAAACAATTCATACACCGCTATGGAATTTGCTGGCGATATATAAATAATTTTAGCAACCCCATTGATCTTAGGTCAGTGCATGCTTTCTTTATTATTACTGTATAACACACATATAATTATTTTTTAATTCTCTTTCTTCATACTTGTTTTCCCCATGTGAAGATATTGCCTTACATGTGACTTTACTAATCATCTACAATCTAAATACGGCTCAGCTTAAACTAGGAGTTGTTAAATCTCTACTCCCCACCAAAATCATTTTGCTCATTAGGTTTTCCTATATTTTCCTGCTAATTGCAATATGGCAATTCTCTCTCTCCAATTTCCTCTATTTGTTTATATCTACAGAAATATAAGGTTGTTTGTCATTCATTCTAGTGCTGAGGGTTTTGGTTGTACTCACAAGTGAGAAGCTCAGATTCTTTGCAACAACGACATGCAATATAAAACTGGTTTGTTCTCACTAAAAAAATAATAGCTACTTTTTACTCATTCAGAGGGGATACGATTTGTGTAAAAACTGTAGTGCCCTGTTTTTGACCCTCTAAATTGTTCTATTACTTGAAAATTAGGTTTTAATATATTTTTTTTATTTTTTATTTTTTTTAACCACCACTTGCAACCTGGGAAAAACTTGGCTAACAGTGCAGAGTTAGACAATATTCTGAACAAGAGGCTAGACCTAAAATAATAATAATGATCTATCCCTTTTTGGTTGGCTTAGTAGACGGCTGGGACACTGGAGACATGTTATTTACTGTATGAAGAAGTAAAACTGTGTTTCATGCTTACTCTTTGTCTTGTGACATAACTGCTCAGCTGGTTACCTTACCAGTAGAGATAACATTGATACCATTTAGCAGTCGATTTATTTAGCATTTCTTAATTTAACATAAAAGATAAATAATAGTAAATAACGCTTTTTGATGTAACTCCTGGTGTACCCTCGCTGCTCTCTCTACAGGTCAGACATTAAACGCCTCTTTCATCAGAAGCACAACTTATCTGATCAGAAACCACATAGCTAGTCTACCTAGTATGCACTCATCAATCCTGACATCTGAGCAAGCACAGGGCATGTCAACATATGCACACTGGGTCTTTACGCTGTCTTAGAAGAGGTGCTTCTGATCAAAGTGGACTAAAGATGGCTGCAATCAGAGCAAGATTAAGCCATTATTACAAAATAATATACAACGGCTATAAAATATATAGGTTTTTTTTTTGTTTTGTTTTTTAATTAGACAAACTAGTACAAAAGGAATAGAGATCGTGGTCTGTGAATTAATCAAGCAATTGTATCACTTTAAAATTCAGCATAAATCACTGGGTAATCATGCATGTTGTGTTTATAGGTTTATAGTGGGGAAATCCTTAAAATTACAGAGAATGTCTTGGTAAAGTATAGAGCGAAGACAATGACAATGTTGGCAGTTGTCTGTGCCACCATATTTGTTTGCCCTCAGCACAGGTAACAGATTACATAATTTGTTTGTTTTGCAGAGAGCTCATATGATGTTTGGAATGCTGACAGATTCCTTCAATTTACATAGGTGAACCTTTTTTTTTTTTTTTTAAACCTGTAAATCCAGTTTATTTGTATTTCCTTACTTCACTCTACCGATAAAATGTCAAGAATAGGTCTTGAAGAGCAAGTTCCTTAGTAGTTCAAACCAGGTTCCAAGTGTCTTTCACTAAAATCGCCATCATTAGTCATTTAAAGTGAACCTCTCATGACAAGCTTGTGTTCCTGCGTTCAGTCCTACAGCTAATGAAAAGAATTTATCATAAAGATAAATGTGAATCTTCTGTTGCAAGAAGACCCTAATACTCAAATACCTCCCCACTTTGTAGCGCTGTCACTTTAAAAATATTATTAAAACATATCACATCTATAACCGTGTTAGCAATTCTACTTGCACAGTGTATAGGTGAAGTGTACTACTATTTAAAGGGACTTAAGGTCATCCTTAGGCATGACTGACCTTAATTAACCTTTTTTTTTTTCCTTGTTCCCCCTGTCAACTATATGATGTGCAGCAGAATCAAGTTTCACCCAATACATATGAGCACCAGCTTCTTCTGCAGTGATGTCACACTGTGTCCTATAGAGGTGCCAGGGCTGTGTTATATGGTAATTGGGGGCTAGTTACATTTCACTGGCTCCATTTCTCCACTTGGTATATAGAGGAAGTGAATTAGTGACATGGGAAGATGGCAGGCAAATACTCAGGCGAATTTGAACAATGACAATTCATGTGCATTCATAAATACACAACCTCCTCCCAAACGCATTGGCCCAGTCCTGTGTGGGTGGATCTCTCTCTATCTCTCTCCCCCCCCCCCCCTTTATTGTAGGATAAAGGGGAGCAGTCACTACCCAGGATTTTTAATAGGGATTGACAATATAATTTTCCAGAGCCGACACTGAGACAGATTATCGGTCACATTTTAGGCCGATTGCCAATAACAGGTGCCAATATTCTGTACATTTAAAGTTTTTAAAAAGTATTACAATGTTTGCACAAATCTGGCATTAACTGAGCATGCTGACAGCAATCACAATCACTCTCAGGCAGCCAGCACATACAAGGATCAGCAAGGTCCCAGCATGCACAGTTCTGTTACTCATAGGACTGCGATTGCTGTCAGCAATGACACTCCTCTCGCTCTCAGATAGCATGTACAGTGCTGTTACCGACAGGAGTGTGACTGCTGACAGCAATCACACTCCCATCACTCTCAGTCAGCCCAGTACATTACAGTAAATTACGCACGGTCACACCTTCCTGCCTTCAGCAGAGTTCCGTAAGAGGGGACTCACAGGGAGAGATGATGCGATGTCGTGACATGGTGCCTTTTTGTCTGGCAGCTAGAGTTTCTGGATGCGGAAGGCGGCGTGCATTGACTGGGAGAGGATAGTAAGTTATCAGTAATAATAGCTAAATGACAAGACCAATACCAGTTATCAGAAACATGCCCAATATTGGCTCTAATAAAAATCGGCAGAATTCAGGGGGCGGGGCCAAGTCAGCAAGCAGAGCAGACGCATGAAAGCTGAGCTCCCACTTTACTAACCGATTATCCATGAATACTCGCCAAAAAGCGAGAGATACGCTCAACCGGGATCCGCTACTTAAATACAGGAGGACCTGGTGATAAGCCTGACACTTTACCTGAAAGTCCTGGTGATCGGGAGCCCACGATGGCTAGCCGTGGCCTGCAGTCGAAGGAGACGGGGAGAGACAACTGCTCTCCCAGTCCACAGACCAGAGCCGCGGGCACCCTGCCCCCGCCAGATCAGTGGGGTTTATCCCGGTCCAACCCCGAGAAGACACACATGGGCAGAGACCCTGATGAGAGAGGTATGTGAGCAGCGAGATGAGGCGCGGCCCCACAATATGGCCGCCGCCACGTGCACTCAGGCCGCTGAAATACCTGATCTATGGAAAAGCTAGAGGCTATACCTGCAGAGTTCTGGCAGAAAATAGCAACCAAGACACGACAAGAGGAAGCACACAGGCAGGCTGAAAGCCCGCCGAAGGTACCGTTATCAAATTTACCACGCAGAAGTAACTGTCCTCCTAAAAAGAGAGCCAGTAAAAGGCATCTGCCCAGACAGGGCTCCCGGCGGGCCTGCACACCCAAGCGACTGACCCTGCCAAAGACAGGGCACCGTCGGGACCAATGCCCTGAGCGACCCAACCCACGAACCCAGCAAGCGGAGGGGACCCTCAAGATTCCCCACCTAGAACAACGACGGGAACTGTCACTATCGAAGGGACTCAGGCGGCACTCTCCGAGTCTCCTCCACCCACTCCACATGGACTCAAAGCTACCCTCGAACATGCCGCTGGACAAGCTCCAAGCACCATGTGGTCAGCAGGTGCTCTCTACTGTTTTTGTTAGCAAAGTTAAAAATTGCAATGTTCTAGGGCAATTAGCACACAGGGCGAGAATAGCCTCACGGGAACCCCAGGGTAAGATGGAAGTGTGAAAGCACCCTAAGCGCACTCCATCCTCCGAACCCTAACACACTATTAACCCTAGATATCCATGTTACCTGACTTATGGGCTCATACCAATCTAGTAATGTGACTCACAAGTGCTTCGAGTAAGTTTAACCCTGCCTGCCCTAACTACCCTACCTCTCAAATGAGTGATACAATCCACACAGTCAAAAGGAACACTATAATCACCTAAATTACTTTAGCTAAATAAAGCCGTTTTAGTGTATAGATCATTCCCCTGCAATTTCACTGCTCAATTCACTGTCATTTAGGAGTTAAATCACTTTGTTTCGGTTTATGCAGCCCTAGCCACACCTCCCCTGGCTATGATTGACAGAGCCTGCATGAAAAAAAAACTGGTTTCACTTTCAAACAGATGTAATTTACCTTAAATAATTGTATCTCAATCTCTAAATTGAACTTTAATCACATACAGGAGGCTCTTGCAGGGTCTAGCAAGCTATTAACATAGCAGGGGATAAGAAAATCTTAATTAAACAGAACTTGCAATAAAGAAAGCCTAAATAGGGCTCTCTTTACAGGAAGTGTTTATGGAAGGCTGTGCAAGTCACATGCAGGGAGGTGTGACTAGGGTTCATAAACAAAGGGATTTAACTCCTAAATGGCAGAGGATTGAGCAGTGAGGCTGCAGGGGCATGTTCTATACTCCAAAACTGCTTCATTAAGTTAAAGTTGTTCAGGTGACTATAGTGTTCCTTTAAACACCCAAGCTATACAACATGGTACCCGCAGTCTCAGACACAGCCCAGGACACACTTCTATATTTAAATATTGTTCTCGCACTCTATATATGTGTATAGACGAAAGTTGTATGTACCATGACAGGTATACTTTAAGCAGGGATTGGTTTATAGCATTTTAGGAGGTGTTAGAAAATATATATTTTCACACACAAATACACATCACAATAGTTAACTTGTCAATTTTTTGTTTTCTCCATTTCCTTCCTTTAAATATAGATCTACCAGGGACGTGGAATTTACATAGCCAGAGACATGCAGTTCCAGTTGCCGGGCAAGCAGTTTTTCTATCCTTTCAGCCCAGGGCTGTTGGGGGGGTGGGGTGGAATGAGAGGGGTAGTATTAGTGCAGTGAGATGACTGTAGATTAAGGCTGCTGGTAATGTGAAATATGGAATGGGAACGATACCTGCCTGGAAGAAGAGCTGCAGCCTGGTCGGGTGGAAAAGCTCCAGAAGGACCCCAGTCAAGCTTCGGCAACTGGGGCTGAAGTGTTTCAGGGTCCCTGCAAGCAGCTAGGAAGCAGACTGGGTGAAGGTACTCGGTCGGAGTACAGGAGCTCCGTCACAGTTAGTTTGCCTGTGAGTATCAGTAAGAAAGTGCATGTTTTTGTGGATGTCAGAATGACAATGTATGGGTCAGAGGGTGTGTGTCAGAATGACAGTGTGTGGACCAGTGATTGCTTATTGCAGTGTATGCATCAAAGTAGTGTGTAGAGGTTAGTGAGGACAAAGTTTGATTTAACAAATTCAATTATTTTTTTTAACTTTAATTTGAGAGAATCATCCATATATACATTAATATGTGTATTAATATTTACACGTGTATATATTATAAGCATTACTTTATACAGATAGCACACACACACACACACACCGCACATACATTACATACAACCAGCAGACAGACACACCATGACAGAGACTACACTTTTTGTAAACTAAATCCAAATGGCAAAATTGAAGCAAAAACACCCATGTTCTAACTATAGCAAAGTGAAACAATATTTTCAGGTCAGCTATTTTGTCTCCATTTTTCCATTCAGATTCAATTTGTGAAAATGAGTTTAGCAAATAGCCCTGCCTATGTCAATGGCTCTAGGCAAGAGCCCCCAATCTAAATAGATTGGGCTACCACTTTAATCCCTTGGGCAAGTAGAGGTTTATTTTAATTCCACAGTACTGTCTACTATATAATGTAAGTATTACTAATGCACTCCTGCAGGATGTGTGCTCTCTTTTATTAGATTATGTTCATTACGCTCAATGCAGTTTGACCTCTCGTGATTTTAATACTCTCCAGACATTGCCACACTCATAATCAAACAAATAAAATAAGGCAGATTTCTACAATTTGTGTGCTTCTTGTGCTCTTAACAGAATAGTTACACTTACATGGTTATTTACTAAAGATAATACAAGGTGAATTTTACATTTAAGGTCAAAATTGATCAAGTAGAAAGATATTTTTTCGTTCCATCTACTCTGACCTTAATTTTCCATTGATTTTACTTGGAAATTTCACTTTAGTCAACAACCCTGTTAAACAGCATGCACAATTATTATTATTATTATTATTATTAGGTAAAAATAATTATATATAATCATCATCCAAAAAAAAAAAAAAAAAATTAAGTATAAAATGTGTTCATTTGCATTGAGATGCTGATCTTTTCTTCCCCCAAAAATTTAAACACAAGGAGGTCCAACCAATCCTTAGGAAACATGGAGATATAGAGATAGATTATATATAGAGAGAGAGATATTTGCTCAGGGTTTCAGTTTCCTATGTGGTACAGCAAGCAAAATTCTCCTCTTTATCCTACTGAGATCAGACTGTAGACACTAGGTGTGGTGAACACTAAATTACGAATATTTGAGATTTTACACCAGTCGTCATACAAACCAATATGGCCAACTGACCATAAAGCATAGGGGCTTCATATTGCACGCAGCAGAATACAAAGCTTTTTTTTTTTTTCTTTTTTTTTTAAATCAACACACTCGTTTTAAAGTACAGTCAGGATTATTCACTAAACTCTGAATTAAAAATAAATAAATAAAACAAAAAAAAATAAAACACTAGTGTCAGGAATACAAACATGTATTCCTGACACTAGTGTTAAAAAACACTTATGTAGGTGCCCATCCACTCTTTACCCCTGTTAAATAGGGGTGAAACTCACCTTTATTCCAATGACGCTAGGTTCTGCCCCCCATCTGCCTCCTTGGCAGAGATCATCAGAATTGACAATCTCAGCCAACCCAATGCTTTCCCATAATAAAGCATTGGAAGGTTATTGCTGCGCAAGCACAGTAAAACACCATGCTGGCCAATCAGCATCTCCTCATAGAGATGCATTGAATCAGTTATGCAGCACTGACACAGGAAGCACCTCTAGTGACCATCTGAGTAACTGTCATTGAAGGTGTCCCTAAGCAGTAATGTAAACATTGTGTTTTCTCTGAAAAGGCAGTGTTTACATGAAAATACCTGTAGGGACAGGTACTAGAACAAGTACATTGAGCTTTAGTTGTTTTAGTGACTATAGTGTCCCTTTAATAAATTCAATCCAAATGGAAGAATTAAGATTTAACCCCTTAAGGGCACATGACGGAAATATTACGTCAAGATTCCCATTTCAGAAGTTGTGTCCTTAAGGGGTTAAATAGCCAATCTGTAATCAAGCTGGATTTTTCAAATCAGTTAGTTGGAGTATACTGAATAATCATGTGCCTACTTTTTCCTTAATTAAAATGTATTTTCTTCAACTTAACAAGTCTGAAATCACACAAAACATTTTCATATCTGCGTAAGTGGTTTTATAAAAAGATTTTTTTTTTTTTTTTTTTTAAATCTTACCACAAAAAAAAAAAAAAAAAAAACCCCACACACCTGCCACACCATGTGGCAAACAGCCTCTATAACATATAAAACAACTGCACAAATATCAAAAAATGTTTTAGACTCAAAATGGCCACCAACCTGTAACCTGATACCTTTCACAAAGTATTTCATTAAAAGGACATATGTGAATGAAAAGTCACTTCTCTGGAAATTACACCACTGCATATGAATGAACCCATTTGCATTGTTACCAATACTAACGATACTACAAAACTAAAATGGTTGCATTTATCAATGGGGAGTAATAAAGCAGTTTTTCTAGAAATACAGTTCATTGTGGTTTGCTCATTTTATCTACACAAGTGTTCTTTTATCTCAGATTAAGGTAAAGTCGCCTTATATTTGTGCCTAGACCAGGACTACGCACTCAGCCATTTCAGAAGCAACGGATTTGGCCTAATAATTCCTTTTCAGAATGAGAGCCTAACATTTATTTGTGTACTACATTATCTGACTACAGTTAAATTACTTTATAATTGCTGATTGTTTTATGACAGACCATTTATCATTTCAAGCAGCAGATAAAAAGTATAGACCTGATATAGATAGATAGATAGATAGATATATATATGAATATGTTACAAGAAAGGATACTGTGTTAACAAAAAGCAAAGTATTATCTTTGAGAAATCTGAGCATTAGCAGGATCTCATTTTAAACATCTGTTTTCATGCAGTGTTATTGTTAAATCTGCCTTTTACACGCGATCGTGGCTGCTCAGTTTTATTTCCATTGCCAAAAGTAGAAAATGCAGCAAATATCAAAAAGGAAACTGTTCCAGATAAGAAGTAAACTAAATGAAAGTGTTTACGTGACTTAACACCATAACAACTAGTGTAGTGGATACGTTGCAAAGACACTACGGGCCCACGTTTTCATTTATTTATTTTGAAATCAGATAAAATCATGAACTCTTCCCAGTTGAACTCTTCCCTTTCTTCAGCTTCCTGAATAACGCAGAGTGAATAAACCCTGAAAGAATTAAAGGCAGAACTAGATGTTGGTCTTTTGAACTCTCGTAATTAGCAATCAACGGATTTTAGCATAAATCTGTTGTAAATAACCACTTCCTCTTCATCTTAAAGTGAACCTGCCGTAACTCGACACACCTTCGATCGAGCAAAAACCATACGAGTTTAGGAGGAGGAGTTGAGGGATTTATATCCAACAACTATATCTAACCAGTTAATATTGTATCTTGAGGGGTCTTTTTTCCTCCACATGCCCCTTGAAGCTTACTGATTAATTTGATTATACTCCTCTTTACCACTATTTATATTTGTTATCATGTCTCCCTTGTGCCAGATCTCAATTACTAGGCTCCTGGATTTTATTATCCCTCTTCCTATGATGTATGCAGTTTATCCTTCTCTGGGAACCATTTGACTGATTGCTTATGGGTTAGTTAACAACTTAAATGAAACCTCGCAGAGGAATCTCCTGTTGCCAAACATGACGCTCCTCATGACAAAATGTAGTGTCTGCTTGTTCTTATTTATAACCGAACTAAGGTGAATTCCAACATAACAAAACCAAGAGGAACTATTTTTTTATTTTATATTTGGAAAGTGACCGTGCAGGTTTAACATAGTGGTATACAATGTGCCCCATTAGTAAGAGAATATGCCCTTAATTTGGTCCCTCTACTAGTTTGAAATCACCTCACCGACTGATGTCTTGCCAATTGTCTCTGCTGATAGCACACGATGACAGCTGTCAGGACGTGATGAGAGCAGTTAGACTAAAAGTTTGTATCTGAAACAGTGACTTTTGTATAAACTGGCACAAAAAAAAAAAAAAAGAAAGAATCTTATGTTGCTACAAACCAAGCAAACATTTTATAAAAACCTGAATGTTTTACTACATACTTACTACAGCCATGTTGCCTTCCCACTGTAAGTATTTATACCACTAGAGACCAGTCTGACAAGTTTACTTGGGGTCTGTTGCTACCTCCTCTGGGGCCAGGAGCTTCTGTTAGCTCCACTGAACTAACAGACTGGCTCATTGACGGAGAGCATTAGTTGAGCACTTTCAGCCTAAAATACAACAGCCATCAGTTACTATGGAGCATATTTCAATCTACAACACAGTGTGTGTCTCTGACTGTAGGATATATTGCTGTGCATGCGCACTGGCCTCCCAATGCTTCCCCATGTGAAAGCATCGGATTGGCTAAGATCATCAGTACTGGGGCAATAATCAAGGCCAGACACTAGTGGAGTTATAATAAAGGCAGAGATTACACACTTCCTTTTAGACATACCAATTAATACCAGCAACAGACTCGGATTGGCTGAAAAATGGTCGGCTGACACTCTTCCTCACTAGTACAAGCAGCACAGAGGGTGTGGGCTGCTGGGGGCTTTGATTTACCATTAAAACCATTTTAATGCTGGATGGAAGGATGATGCCAGTGCACTCCAGACCCTATAACCACTTTAACAAGACAAAGCAGGTACAGTGTCCTTTTAATAAACACACACACTCCTTGTCCAAACATGAATGGAATTGGTATTGATAGAGTGAAGAGGAACATAGCGATATCTTTGAAAAAGAGCAAGAATGTGGATGCCCTGGAGATCAACTTAGGGTGAAACTATTTGAAAACGCTTAGACTTGACAATGACACAGTGCCAAACGCTCCTAGAACTGCACCTACCACAGTTCTGTGGAGTGGTTATGGTGCTTAGAATAAGCCTTTACAGCAGCATTGTCAAGCCCCTCCAATAAGAATATTTCTTTATTAAAAGGGACACCAGAACAACTACAGCTTAATGCAGTTGTTCTGGTGAGTATAATCATTACCTTCAGACATATTCATGCAAACACTGTTTTTTAGAAATAAGGCAGTGTTTACATTACAATACAAAATAAATACATAGTCCTGCTGTGTGATCTAAAATCCACCAACACACTCTAACACCTGTGTGTTCACCTCTCTATACACACACACAAAATAAAGATTATACACACATACAAAAAAAGGTGGAGTGTAGTTGGTATTCACATGTGGTATCATTCCAAAAGACAGAAAGACAAGGCCCAAGCCTAGTGCAATTCAGTAAAATATAATACAGTAAGCAGATGAGTAACTCTAGAATATGGTACTCACAAATATGGAGCCTATATGCAAGGCTCACCACAGGTGCAGGTGGGGAAGTTAGAAGGGACCCCACTCCCTTAATGATGCTGTAGGAGTTTTCTTCTTTACCCAATAAGTTCACTGACCGTTATTTCCAAAAAACAAATTAAAAGCGAGTTAAAAAGTGGTATAATAAATAAAGTCCACATAAAATAAAATTGCAAAGTGCTGACATTAGCTCCTGAAGCACCATGAACTGAAGAAGAGCAACAGGAAGAAGATGGCGGCAAGAGACAGCTAAGTAGATCTCACCTTTGCATAACCCCCCTCCTCCCCCACAGACATGATGTCACTGTTGGGTGTTTTTTGCAAATTGTGCGAATGTTGTGCCCATTCACAAGAAAGGTAGTTGGGAGGATTCAGGCAACTATAGTTTACAGAGGAAGAGGTTCTATTTCAACTGTCAAAAGTAAAGACAAGCCAATGGGACCTGATGGAATACACCCAAAGTTATTAAAAGAGCTTAGTGGTGTACTTGCAAAACCATTAACAGATGTATTTAACCAATCATTGTTAACAGGAGTAGTCCCAAAAGATTGGAAGTTAGCGAATGTTGTGCCCATTCACAAGAAATTGTACTATGGAGGAGTTGGGCAACTATAGGCCAGTAAGCCTTACTTCAGTAGTGGGGAAAGTAATGGAAACTATGTTAAAGGATAGGATTGTTGAACATCTAAAAACACATGGATTTCAAGATCCGAGACAACATGGGTTTAGTTCAGAGAGATCATGCCAAACTAATCTTATTGATTTTTTTTTTTTATTGGTTAACTAAAATAATAGATCAGGGTGGTAAAGTAGACATTGCTTACCTAGATTTCAGTAAGGCTTTTGACACTGTTGCACATAGAAGGCTTATCAATAAACTGCAATCTTTAACTTTGGATTCCAATATTGTTGAATGGGTAAGGCAGTGGCTGAGTGACAGGCAACAGACGGTTGTAGTCATTGGAGTATATTCGAAGCATGAGCTTGTCGCCAGTGGGGTACCTCAGGGACCTGTACTTGGACCCATTCTCTTTATTTTTTATTAGTGATATTGCAGAAGGTCTTGATGGTAAGGTATGTTTTGTGCTGATGATACTAAGATATGTAACAGGGTTGATGTTCCAGGAGGGATAAGCCAGATGGCAAATGATTTAGGTAAACCAGAAAAATGGTCAGAGTTGTGGCAATTAACATTTAATGTGGATAAGTGCAAGATAATGCATCTTGGACGTAAAATCCCAAAGGTAGAGTACAGAATATTTGATAGAGTCCTAACCTCAACATCTGAGGAAAGGGATTTAGGGGTGATTATTTCTGATGACTTAAAAAGGTAGGCAGACATTGTAATAGAGCAGCAGGAAATGCTAGCAGAATGCTTGGTTGTATAGGGAGAGGAATTGGCAGTAGAAAGAGGGAAGTGCTCATGCCATTGCACAGAACACTGGTGAGACCTTACTTGGAGTATTGTACACAGTACTGGAGACCAAATCTCTAGAAGGATATTGATACTTTAGAGAGAGTTCAGAGAAGGGCTACTAAACTGGTTCGTGGATTGCAGGATAAAACTTACAAGGAAAGGTTAAAAGAACTTAACATGTATAGCCTGAAGGAAAGACGAGACGGGGGGGATATGATAGAAACATTTAAATACATAAAAAGGGAATCAACACAGTAAAGGAGGAGACTATATTTAAAAGAAGAAAAACTACCACAACAAGAGGACATAGTCTTATTAGGCACCCAGACCACTTCGGCGCTTCTCACTGTGATTTTGACAGTGAGAAGACGCCAGCGTCCATAGGAAAGAAGATTGGAGAGTATATATTTTTTTTTAACTTTTTTTGTACGTTTTTACCACTTATGTTTAATATATTTTGTTTTATAAATCGATTACCATCTTCTACCTTGCTGCTAAAAGAAAGGTTGAAGCCCCCTTAAAGGCACATACACCTCTACACCAGGAGCCAGGTAGTGGGCTCCTTATCAGGTGAGAAGCCATTTTTTTCTACCATTTCATTCACATAACATTGGAATTTACTGCACTAGGGACACTTTGCTTCCCTTTTCCCCTCCCTTTCCTTTTTTTATATGTATTAAGACTTACTGACAGACAAAAGGAATCAAGTGGGTACTGTGTCACCAAAAGTACACGCAAGCCTTTGAGATCTGAGCCTATCCGATAAGGCTCTTGGGCATGTGAGTGTAACCATATAGATCATTTACACATATATGATAGCTTACATAAGTTATTTGCACTATCTGCACTTATATTTTTTCAGATATACGTACTGTGATACGTTTCTTCCTTTGTATATCCACAAATGTGTTAACCCTTAGGGGTAAGTTTGTACATTTCTGAAGCGCTCCACATACACACTAGTGGTGGTTTCTATTATTATAATATTATCCTACACTGTGTGTACACTTGGTCCATAGGAAAGCATTGAGAATGCTTTCCTATGGACTGACTGAATGCGCACGCGGCTCTTGCGCATTCGGCAGAAGAGGGAGCCCGGCGCTGACGAAAGGTAAGCCTTTAACCCCTTCCTCCCCCTAGAGCCCGGCAGGAGTGGGGCCGTGAGGGTGGGGACCTATTAACACTATAGTGCCAGGAAAACTAATTTGTTTTCCTGGCACTATAGTGGTCCTTTAAATGAGAGGGGCAAAGGTTTAAAAATAATATCAGGAAGTATTGCTTTACTGAGAGGGTAGTGGATGCATGGAATAGCCTCCCAGCTGAAGTGGTAGAGGGTAACACAGTAGAGGAGCTTAAGCATGCATGGGATAGGCATAATGCTATCCTAACTGTAAGATAAGGCCAGGGACTAATGAAAGTATTTAAAAAAATTGGGAAGACTAGATGAGCCAAACAGATCTGCTTTAATGAAAGATGGCTAAATCCATGCTGTGGCAACCCTGTATGTACCAATGACATTTTACACCACCAGCATAATTTTGTCTGGGCCAATCCATCTGGTCATCTAGCTCTGTAGAGACTTGATATCACATATCCAGAAAATCAATAAAAGGGCAATCATTTGCTTGTAATGGACTTTTTCCAGGCAATTGAAAACTCAAGCCAAAAAAATAAAAGTGAGTACAGCTTTCTTACCACAAAGAATGTGACAGAACTTGGTAATCAAGAAATATTGCACCATTCTTTGCCATTACAGCCAATGTCATTTACAAACAATTAAAAAGGAGTTGCACAATATCTCTCAAAATTCAGTTATTTTCATTATAAGAACACTGGACCACACAGAAATTTCATTGTTCATATAATCATTAATTATAATTGCCAATAACAAAACAAATGCATAATTTAAAAGTCTATAGCTATATACATATATTTTATGTTCAATAAACTTTAATACAGTACAAGATATTGATCTTGGAAAATAAATAGTAAACAGTAACGGCAAGACAAACAAATGATATATATCACTTGAAAACCAGAAACTATGATTGAGTCTCTGACTCTATATCCCAATAAATGAAGGAGGCAGTGTGTTTACCGTAAATGGAAGGGATGCCAATGCAGCGTCAGCGCCTCATAATCAACATTACGGAGATCACACTGAACAAAATATGTAATTGCATATGCTCTACATCAGTGCTTAAAAAAAAAAATTCCAATCAGGAGTGAAAGGGTCAAATCAGTATATCCTTCCTCCAGGGAATAGATGATTACACTGCAATGAACCAGCCCTAAACCCTGCCACTCCCTGCAGATTCTAGTTCTACACTCAGACATACACACACACAGTGTTGTCAGATTGCAATATGCTCCATAATAATAACTGATACTTGTTGGATTTTCACTGTGTTGTCAGAATGCAATATGCTTTATAATAACTGATACTTGTTGGATTTTTTTTTTTTTTTTAATCTATAAATACCATCAATGGACAAAATGTACACAGACTGCCCATGCAGAAATCATTGGTATTAGGTGATAATGACATTTTAAACTCCTGCAACTGTCCAAAAATAGACACCCAAGATTAACAGCATGGAGCCAACCCTAATGAAGGGGACAAAGTGATATACACCAACAAGTAGGGACGTAATCACACACTACTTAGTATAACTCAATAATAATAAAATATAACTCTTAAGGTGTAGTTGGAATTAATACAGTTATTAGGATTCTGAAATTGAATCTTCCACTTTCTTACCACCATAGCTGGTGTATACTGTATATAAGTCATACACTATATATATATATTACATATTCATGTATCAGCACGTGTTTTGACCAGTAAAGCCACATCTAGGGCTTCTGCCCTTACAGCTTGCACTCCACCTACTGCTGCCTACATTACCCACAATGCTTAGTCACTGCACCATGGGAGCAGCAGCCCATTGGGGTTATGTAGACCCACAGAGGACCTATTCGGTCAGTATAATGTGAATATCGGTATGACCCTCCCCACAGACACCCATTGCTGGGAACACACCCAGGCCCCCATGGGACTCCCTCTGTCACACTCCATCCTCACCTGACACCACCAAGGCTTCATTGGGCCCCACCGTGTGACAGTTCCCCATGTCTGAGAGCGGTCTCGGTCCTTTCACCCGTCGGTCTCGGTCGGTTTCCTCCCTCCTGCCAGGATCCCCTTCCCCCAAAACAATAACAAGCCGTAAGCAGCGCAGCACACAGATACCGAGCTGGGCGGAGTCTGGAGACACAGGGACACGCCCCCTGCTCCCTCACAACCGCTGCGAGGTGGGCGGAGCTTAGGGACGATGGACGATTCCCTTCATGGACCAATAGGAGGCGGGGGAGAATAGAACGTAGGGGGGGGGACATAATCCTGGGGAAAGGGGCGTGTCTCCGAGGAATGGCCAACTGGCCAATGGGACGTAAGGGAGACGTTGATTGACATCCAGCGGTTGGCCGTCCTGAATAACCCCCGCGTGCAGGAGCGTTAACGCTTTGCTGGCCGAGACAGCTACGTCATTCCGGCGGAGGGGGCTGACAGGGTGGTGATTTTAAAGTGGGCGTGGCTTCTATCCCCGAGGTGTTGAATGACTGCCAGTGTGAGTGTCCCCCCCCCCCCCAGTCACAGCGCGAGGGGGAGGGTCACGTGCTGCCCTACAATGGAGGGACCCCCGCGGGCGCCATGTTGGGTGGGAATGACGTCACGATGTTTACAGTCCCGGGATTTGTAGACATGGTTAACGGTTCCCGTGTTACCGCATTCTGGAGCAGTCACCATGGCAACCAGTGCAGAGGGCCCGTTGATTGCTCTCCCCCCCTCCCCCCACCATTTGGGCCCAGAGTGACTCCTCACATATAAACCTGGTAACATCCAGGTCACATCCTGAGCACAGTGACCACTGCGGGGACCATCACCACTGCAGGCACCATCACCACTGCAGGCACCATCAGCACTGCGGGCTCATGGCAACCGTTAAAAGGCCACTATAGTCTCCCAGACCAGTTCAATGGACACTATAGTCTCCTAGACCAGTTAAAGGGACACTATAGTCTCCTAGACCAGTTAAAGGGACACTATAGTCTCCCAGACCAGTTCAATGGACACTATAGTCTCCCAGACCAGTTAAAGGGACACTATAGTCTCCCAGACCAGTTAAGCTCATTGAAATGGCTTTGGCGCAGTGTGCCTGTCCCCTTTAGTCCTGCAAAGTACATTATTGCCGTTGTAGAGCTGGCAGACAGTCATTACAGGCGCTTCCTGGAGTCTCACGAGTTTGACTCCATGAAACGATACTGGACATCCTCATACGCTACTAGATGAGGATGTCCAGCGTGAGAAAAAGTCGAAATGCGCTCGCCATGCATTAGGTCCACCCATTGGATGAAGGAGGAGGAGGTAAGTGGGGAGGGGCTGAGGAACACGTTAGTGTTAGCAATACATCTTTCTATTCCTGACACTGAACTGTTCCTCTAGCCCAATGGTTTCCAGTCCTCAAGTACTCCCTAACAGTCCAGGATTTAGGGATTACCCAGTTGTGTCTAAGGTGTTTTTAGAAGAAAAAAAAAAAACACTTTTGACACAACAGGGTAATCCCTAATTTCTGGACTGGTAGGGTTTACTTGAGGACTGGGTTAGGAACCCCAGCTCTAACCCCTTGCATATGCTCAAATACCCTCCTGTCTATTCTATTCACTTATACATAAATATAATTTACCTTTTTTTTTTTGTTGTTTGGTAACTTAAATCCCATGTGTCTTGGTGGATCTCCCTAGTTACTATTGACAAGGGTAAATGACAGAAGTGCGTGCCCATATACATCAAAGAAATAAAAAAAATTGCTGTTGAAAACCACAAATAATTAGTGTATGTATTTCCAAACTACAGTAACGAGTTCTGAAAATTAGATTAAGCAAGGTTATTTATGCAATCTATGTCATGACATAACTGAATGCCTTTAGATAATGATAAAAATTAAAACTACTGTGGAATAAAAACCTCAAAATCGATCACATAAATAATTACTGTGGGTAATCTGTAACTTCGCTTCAGAAACGCAGATCATTACGTGAGATTATTGCTACATTCTATGGAATGATAAGGATGCATAACACAATTAGATTGTAAACTTGTGTGAGCAGGGTAACATATAATGTAATTGTCTCACTTATTATTCAATTTTCTCCTTTTATAGTATTGTAATGCACTGTGGAATAAATTGGCAATACGTAAATGGCAATAATAATAACTGAATGCTCAGAGGCGTTTATTAGAAAAAACGAAAACTGCTGTGGATTAAAACACAAAAACACTACAAAATTAATTAGAGTTGGAATTCCCAAATACATTTGTGCACCAATCCTTTTCACCTGCAATGAACAAATCTAATTCCTGTTAAACTACAGATTGATTAGTTAAGACACAGATTAACTGAATTTGATTTTTTTAATTACAACAGTATTATTTTTCTTTCTGTGGACATTTGCTCATGTTATTTATATTAATGTCACATTAACATGAGTCTTAGAACCAGTTATAGAAATTATGGAATACCCAACGTAATTATGTATATGATAGGATTTGTGATTTCTATTCAACAGTAATTTTATTTTTCCCATTGCTGTCTAAAGGCATTTGATTGTTTTGGGACTCAGATTAAAACAGATTATTGCTACATCATGAAAAGTATGAATGAAAGACTCAGATGCCCACAGGGATTAATATAAAAAAAAAAAACATGTGGATTAAAAATCACAGAGCAGACCACATAAATAATTATTGTGGGTATTCCCTAACTACAGTGACAGATTCTGAGACTCAAATTAAATGAGATTATTGCTGCAGGACAAGGGTGAAGGACACAACCAAATGTCCATGGACATAAAAAGTAATCAAAAACAAACTAAAATTACTGTAGATTAAAAAAAAAACAGACCTCATAAATAACTACCATGGGTATTCCTTAACTTGAGTGTCGTCAGGTTTTAATCTGGACAGTTGCTGCAACAATCGGTTTGCATAACCAAAGAATTTCTGCAGAAACTGTCTGAGGGAAGCTCATCTGCATGTGATGAGATCCTGAGGCCCATTGTTGTGCCCTTCATCCACATTGCACATGATAATGCACGGCCCCATGTTGCAAGGATCTGAACACAATTCCTGGAAGCTGAAAACACCCCAGTTCTTGCATGGCCAGCATACTCGCCGGATGTGTCACCCACTGAGCATGTTTGGGATGCTCTAGATTGGTGTATACGACCGCGAATTCCAGGTCCTGTCAATATCCAGCAACTTTGCACAGCCATTGAAGAGGAGTAGAACAACATTCCACAGTCAACAACTTTATCAACTCTATGCGAAGGAGATGTGTTGCACTGCGTGAGGCAAATGGTGGTCACACCAGATACGGACTGGTTTTTGGACCCTCCTGGGTCCCCCCAATACAGTAAAACTGCACATTTTATTGTGGCCGGCCTAAGGCACACCTGTGCAAAAATTAAGCTGTCTGAGGTGGATGGATTATCTCGGCACAAGAGAAGTGCTCACTAACACAGATTTAGACAGATTTGTGAACAATATTTGAGAGAAATAGGCCTTTTGTGTACCTAGAAAATGTCTTCGATCTTTGAGTTCAGCTCATGAAAAATGCGGGCAAAAACAAAAGCGTTGCGTTTATGATTTTGTTCAGTGTATAAATCATTACCTGTTACTTATAAAGAATCCAATTTTACGAGACCTGTTACCTAAACAACTCCCAATAATTTATAAATGGCAAGAAATGTAAAAAAGTGTAATAGCACCAAGCTATGTAGATAGAAAAAAAGAATACAAATATAGGAACTATAGGATCTGGACTACTGTTGAAAGTGGGATCAGGCCAATACGCCTTGGAATATGTTCTCTCTGTAATGACACAAGTGAGTAAAAACTATTTTGAAACCTGAGTTTCTCTAAGCTTTTGTCATTCTGAGAGTTCTAATATTCTCTGTTTTGGGTTAAATTTTATGACTAATTACAAACTAGAAACATTTTTGGTTTGCTTCTGTATTAACTGCCACACGGACTTTGTGGTATATTTATTGCAGTGTCCGTGCTGTAAGCAATATATGGACTGAATGAACAGGAAATTAGAAAATAGAATTTAAGAGCATTCTAACAATATCAAAAAAGGATTCCAGTAACCTTTGGTTCCAGTATACTGCAACATGTGTTCCTAACACACTGGTGTCACTCTGCCTACATGGCCCCCACCATCTGGCGAATAAAGGGTTAAAAACAAATTTGTTAAACTTACCTGATTCCAGCGCTGAAGGGGCAACACGTCAAACGTCACAGTGATCTGGGAACTAATGCACAAGTGCCTTTAGGCCTTCCCCATAGGAAAGCATTGACTCAATGCTTTGGAGGGAGTTCAGAGAACGGCTACTAAACTGGTTCATGGATTGCAGGATAAAACTTACAAGGAAAGGTTAAAGGGACTTTCCAGGCAGACAATTTTACTTACCTGGTTCCGGAGCCTCATGAAGCTGCGCCCCCTATTTCGTCAAAATGACAAAATAGGCGGGCGCGAGCAGGGAGCAATCAGACGCTTCCATTTGGAAGCGTCATTGCTCCCTTGTGCGCATGCGCGGCTTCGCCGCACATGCGCACATACTTTATAGAGCATGCGCGCAGTCGCGAGCTGACAGGCAGGAGAGAGAAGGCGCACACACAGTGCCTTCTCTCTCCTGCACACGTCAGACCTATTTTAATACGTCTGACGTGTACAAGGCCTTTTTAGGGCCCTACATGATAGGAAGTCCCTCTGGTGGCCATCTGAGTGACGGCCACTGGAGGTATTCCGATCAATCAATGTAAACACTGTATTTTCTCTGAAAATACAGTGTTTACATTAGATGGCCTGCAGGGAGCTATAGATCTCACCTAAACAAATACAATAAGCTGTAGTTGTTCAGGTGACTATAGTGTCCCTTTAAAAAAATTTTTTTTAAAGTTTATTCTCTGCTACGTCCAAGAGCAGCTTACTAAATGTTGAAAAATGCCAATGATGCACTCCTTTTATAACCTATATTCCTAATGCTATTATGTCCCTGTCCCTAGTAATAGTAATGTTTTTAATTGCAAGGTCAGTGAATCCACTGAATATGTCTTAGAAAAGACATACTATCTGACTTCCTCTGGAATGCTGTTTATCAGTTTTGTGTAGAGAGAGTTTCAGAAAAGTCATATCTAAACAGTTGCTTGTTGTAATCTATTTTTTTAATTTTTTTATTTGGCTTGCTTTTTATAATGTCATAGCAAGTTATAATACTAAGTCAGCACTACCCATACGAAAGAGAACATCGACAGTCAACTATGTGACAATCCGTAAGATAAGTTGAAACAGAATATAGACCTGTAACAATACACATTGGACAAGTATAAATTGAGCATTAGTCGTGATGTCGTGGCAACTGTACTCTTTCAAGAGCCAAGGACACAACTGAAACCAATTTTATTAGGCAGCCGAAGGGTAAGGGAGAAGGGATTTGTGGGTATACCCAGCCTTGACCGTTCCTGAGCCAATGCTGTGTTTTGTAACCATGCTACAACAACTTGCCCCTGGTCAGGAGGTGAAAAAGACAAGGGGGAGGGAAGGGGAGTTGGAGAGGGAGAAAAAAGGGGGTGAGAAAGGAAGGGATGATGCATGCACCGAAATAGCGGAATCCATCAAAATCTCATGTTAATACCTAGCAATGTTTAAACAAGGAATAGCTTTTACCTGGTGCCCCAGAGTCTCACCTGTAGGGACATACTAAAAGGAATGATAAGGGTGAATAACTAAAGGGAATGCATAGACATCAATGAAATTTAAAATTTAAACTGCTGTGGATCAAAATCCACAAAGCAATCCACATAAATAATTACAGGGACAGGTTCCTAGGCTCTGACTAAGTCGTAGTCAATGGAATGACAAAGTTGAATGACACAAGTGAATGCCTATAGACATTAATAGAAAAAAATAAAACTGCTGTGGGATAAAAACCACAAAAGAGACCACGTAAATAATTACTCTGGGTAATCCATAATAAACGTACTCAAATCTTTTTCACCTGCGATAAATTAATTATATTTTTGCTAACCCTGCAAAACTCACGTAAAAAGTCAAACTGTTCTTAAAGGACCACTACAGGCACCCAGACCACTTCAGCTCAATTAAGTGGTCTGGGAGCCAGGTCCATCTAGTGTTAACCCTGCAGCTGAAAACAAAGCAGTTTCAGAGAAACTGCTATGTTTACACTAGGATTAATTCAGCCACTAGTGGCTGTCTCACTGACAACCGCTAGATACGCTTCTGACTGTGAAAATCACAGTGAGAAGATGCTGGACGTTGATAGGAAAGCATTGAGAAATGATTTCCTATGGACTGTTTGAATTCGCGCGCGGCTCTCGGCCCTGACGTCGGCAGAGAGGAGAGTTCCCCAGGGAGGAGCCCACCGCTGGAGAATGGTAAATGTTTAACCCCTTCAGCCCAGCGGGAGTGGTACCCTGAGGGTGGGGGGACCTAAAGACCCTATAGTGTCAGGAAAACAAGTTTGTTTTCCTGGCACTATAGTGGTCCTTTAAACAATTTGACTAGTTACACAGGTGAGGTGGGGGAGAAATGGCACTTCTGTCACCATATCCACTATAGCACACTGTAATGTTTATGATACAAGAAGTGTTCCATTAATGTGTAAAGGCATTGGGTTGTATTGTCCACCTTTGTATTTCCATAGAATTCAGCAATAAACCGGCTTAAAGAGACTCTATAGCCATCCAGAGACTACTACATCTCATTGAAGTGATCTGGGTGCTATTTTCCCTTTCTCCGTAACCCTGCAATGTAAAACATTATAGTTTCAGAGCAATTTCTGGGAGACAGCCTATTGTGGCACTTCCTCAATTCACATGAACTTTAGCTCAGGGAAACGACACTGGATGTCCTCATGCTTTGTATGAGGACATCCAGCGTCTTCAAAAATCCACATAGGAAAGCATTAGAAACATAAAATGTGACGGCATATAAGAACCATTCGGCCCATCTAGTTTGCCCAGTAAAGCAATACTACCTGATATTATTTTTAAACCTTTGCCCCTCTAATTTAATACTATGTCCTCTTGTTGTGGTAGTTTTCATTCTTTTAAATATACTCTCCTCCTTTACTGTGTTGATTCCCTTTATGTATTTAAATGTTTCTATCATATCTCCACTGTCTCGTCTTCCCTCCAAGCTATACATGTTAAAGGGACACTGTAGTCACCTGAACAACTACAGCTTATTGTATTTGTTCAGGTGAGATGTATAGCTCCCTGCAGGCAATCTAATGTAAACACTGTATTTTCAGAGAAAATACAGTGTTTACATTGATTGATCGGAATACCTCCAGTGGCCGTCACTCAGACGGCCACCAGAGGGACTTCCTATCACGTAGGGCCCTAAAAAGGCCTTGTACACGTCAGACGTATTAAAATACATCTGACGTGTGCAGGAGAGAGAAGGCACTGTGTGCGCGCCTTCTCTCTCCTGCCTGTCAGCTCGCAACCGCGCGCATGCCCTATGAAGTATGCTCCCTGCTCGCGCCCGCCTATTTTGTCATTTTGATGAAATAGGGGGCGTGGCTTCATGAGGCTCCCGGCGCTGGAACCAGGTAAGTAAAATCGTCTGCCTGGAGAGTCCCTTTAAGTCACACAGTTTCACCCATACCATCACATCTACAGAAGAAAGATTGGCCCAATTCACTTAAGAGGCTATTTGACAAAGCTTAACGGATTACATAATCCTCAGGCTCAATTTACTCACTAATCCAATAACTTCATGATCAAACCAGGCCACCTTTGAGTCCGGCCAAATGGCAAACGTCTTTACTTGTCAACATACTGACAGATACACTAAAACTTTACACACTTTTACTGGAATCAAGCTGTCAGTACATGCATCAAGTATACTATTCAGCAGAACAATTAACGCTGTATAGGACTCAGATGTCCCAAATGTATTAGGTAGGTTACATTGTTTCTGGAAATGCAAAGGAAAACAGTCATTCTGGAAAGATGTTTGTGATCATTTACATTAGGCTTAAAATTGTGCTTTTCACATTTAAATCCTATATAAAAACTATAGAATCCAGATACGTAAAAAGCACTTTTTAATTAAAATGGGATTTAACACATGGGATGTATATTCACAAATTATTATTAACTTGCATTATGCAAGTAAATGATAGTCAGTACTATTTGCCTACTTACAGCACTAACAACCTGCAGACAAATAGTTAAAGGGACACCGTAGGCACTGTATCTGCTTCATCTCATTAAACTGGATATAGTGTATGGAGTCCCATGTTGCCATCATTTCTATCAGGATTAAACAGTTTTTAATGTTGTAATGTTTTAATGCTAAACAAGAGACCACGGCAGTCCATCCCCTCTGTGCTGCTTTGGCTAATAAGGAAGTATTACCCTGAGCAGCAATGGGCAGCTGTGATTGGCTGAGCGTGTCAGCTGACTGCTTTTAACCTGTCAGAGCTCCAACTGACGGTATGAATGGGTATGACAACAAGGAAGTGTGTAATCTCTGCCTTAGCTACACATACAGAAGGGGCCAGACTGTGGGTGGCCAGGGACTTTTATTTTGTGGCATACTGCACAAACATGGTGCAACACTGAATGGAGGGACAGTGCCAGGGCACTCCAAGCACTATACCAATTCAAAGAGACAAAGTGGTTATAGTGACTACAGTGTCCCTTTAAAAACCTCTTAGTGGTGCCTGACCAACCACCACAGTAGAAGAAATTAATAACAAATTTATAATATAATATAAGCCTATGGGGTTCAATAGGAACCTCATCTAATAATAGGGCAGCTGGAAGCTGCTCACTGTTACTTAAACATGAATAGTGGTCCTCAAGTGCTTAGCCACCTTTGCCCATTAAATTATTCCCCAGTGACCTCCGTCACTCTAATAACATTAAAGGGACACTATAGTCACCAGAACATTGAATTTGTTCTGGTGAGTAGAATAATTACCTTCAGGCTTTTTTTTTTGCTGTAAACATTGTCTTTTCAGAGAAAATGCAGTGTTTGAATTACAGCCTAGTGATAACTTCACTGGCCACTCCTCAGATGGCTGTTAGAGATCCTTCCTGGGTAATGGCTGCCTAAAATGCATCCAAACATTCAGTGTCTCCTCCCTCTGCATGCAGACACTGAACTTTCCTCATAGAGATTCATTGATTCAATTCATCTCTATAAGGAGATGCTGATTGGCCAGGGCTGTGTTTGAATCGTGCTGGCTCTGCCCCTGATCTGCCTCTTTGTCAGTCAGTCTCAGCCAATCCTAAGGGAAAGCACTGTGATTGGATCAGGCTACCATTTCTGATGATGTCAGCAGAAAAACCTCACATTTTAAAACCTCACACTGCTTGCCTGCAGTGTAAATGTTAAGTTAAAAAACAAACAAACAAACATATTGTAGTCCTGGGGTCTATTATTTTGTGCAATATATGCATTCTCAATGTAAAACAGTTGGAAAATATCAATGTTGAGTTATGAACGGACAGGACCACCATGGGCTACGGTTTCAGGAGGTATGGTAAATGACACAGATAACAGGTTGGTAATTCCCAAGGAGGGAGAAGATTGTGACCCTACATTTTTGGAGGGAAGAGAGACTAAGTTAGTTGCATCATCATGCGAAATGGGTTTAAAAGGGGACTCTAAGCACTATAGCGCTTATGGTGCCAGGAATGCTCTGGTACTGTCCTGCTATGAAGAGGCAAGTCGTTTTAAAACAGTTTGACAATTACCATAGTCCCCTGGGCATTCGGGGTCTGATCTCTTTTCACAGAGGTGACTGAATGTCCCCTTCACACTAGCAATATCAATCCGGTGCAATGTTGGACAAAACAGATTTTGCTAAACTCCAAAAGGAGCTTCTGCGATATCTGTGAAGAGGGGCCACACTGTGTGGTGCCTGACACCATGAACACTATTCACTATAAACATTGTTCTTTAATAGTGTCAAAGTACAGGTCTCTCCCTTAGACACAAATTTCCAAATGTAAAATAAATAAACAAATAATCCATAATGTGATAAGAATAAACGTTATACTTTATTTAGGTTTAAAAATTGCATCTATAAACCAAAAACATTTTGCACAGCACTAGTACATAACAGAAGCGAGAAAGCCAATCAAATGCATCATTTGGTCACTTACACTGTAACAATTATGTTTTTTTTTTTTTTTTAAAAGGTACCCGGTTTCCACATCTTTTTTGCAATGCATTTTCATGAACCAAAGTTAATATACTGCTCTCCTTGTTTCTAGCAAAATATATCACTATCGGATCTCTGTCCCAGAACGGTTATCTTTCAGTGCACATACTACAACATTACTTTAGCATATCACATCTGCATGAACTCTAGAAAGTCATTATTGATACTAACTAGCATGAACTTTGTACATGATATTCTTTGAATAGTACATTATTCCAGTTAATGTTTTACATGCAAAAAGTCAAACTGTTTGGCCTACTTGGCTTCAAACCCACTTTCTCATAGGTGTGAAATAGATACTTGTATCACTGTGGCAGGTCTTTAATATAACATCTGCATGTGAACTTGCCCATATAATTGTATTAATAGTGGCAGTCTTCTTGTAGACTGTTCCAATATGGAAGGAAATTCGTTTCTGCACAAGAATCTTTCTTATTTTTGCTTACTCAAGGAAAGCAATCCACGTACTGAGCCTCACCGAGGTAGACAATGGTTGATTTTTCTGGATCATCAAATCTTTAAGAACAGGGGCAGCAAAGCATCATAAGAGTTGTAGTTCTGCAACAGCTGCAATCTACTTGTTAGCCACCCCTGCTCTCTGTATTTACTTATCTTACTAAAACAATTAAGCACAGCAAAAGATTGAACTGGTCAGCATGTGTTTATCATGTAAGTAGGCAGAATTAAATGTAAACAAAGCTACAGCAGGTTATACATATATTATATATAAAAAAACAGAGCTGGAATGAACAACATCCTGAAATATGATAGTCATTTATAAAATGCCATTTTATTGACATAATAAGTCATACGTAGAGGTAAAAGGAGCGCTCCAGTCATAAACTTTATAAAAAAAAACTTTGTCACGCAATTTTATGACTCTGGAGTTAATGAAATCCTGAGAAGCCTGGGCACTGTGTTCACAACTTTAGGGTTAAACTGTTCATAAACAATTTATTAGCTTAAAGTAAGATGGCGCCCAGGATGTCCTGACACCATAACAACTTCATAGAGATTAGGTAGTTATGGTGCACAAAGGGTTCCTTTAATGCAAGCCGGACCACAAATTATGTATGTGTATAAAAATATCAATATATTTATGATTATAATGAAAGAGAGAAAACAACCACTATATTTAATATTATGCAAAATGAGGAGACTCTGCAGAAGCATCCAGGATTTGTTCTAAAAATGCTTATTATGTATTTTTCTTTCCCACCTTCACTGCGTCAGTGACAATACATTATTTTTTGCCAGAGAGACTGCATCAAGCGTATATCCGTACATTCACCAGTTAACATGCATGTGATCTCATCATAAATTAAATGTTGCACTGGGCTTGGACAAGCCATTAACACCTTAGGAGGAAGGGAGCAGAGCATGTTCATGATAGCCATCTTGTCAGCGCAAGCTGTAGTTCATCTATCGGTGATTTTTAACAAAAGACGAGAGATTAACTGTGAACATGTATGATATACAAACAGTATGCTAGGTGGTAACCAAGCCAATAATCCGCACCCACTGGCTCCGGTGAGGCCGTGTCACCCCTGCAGTTAGGCAGGAATAGTGAATTCATGATACCAGATGGATAATCGCTGGATCACTGTGAAGTTGTGAATGGCGAGGTCATATATTGAGTGGATAGCCAGGCCCTTTAATCATACTTTACCGATCAATTTTACTAATAAAAAAGATGAATGGTGTACAGTCAGCTGATAATAAAGCACAAACAATTGCTCAATACTGGAAGATTAGTTAATCATTCTCTTTGAATAAAAAAAAAAAAAAAAAACACACCTTACCTTTCTGAAAAGGACCTGGAATCTGTTTCACGCTTAGTGAGAATGAGGTTACGTTGCTTATTGTTAAAGGAACACTCCAAGCACTCAGACCACTTATGCCCATTGGAGTGGTCTGGGTGAGAACGCCCACTACCCTTAACCCTGCAAGTATAATTATTGCAGTTTTCATATCAGACAGCCACTAGAGGGACTTCCATGTTCGTAGAACACAAAAAGTGTGTTATACGACGCTGGAGGTCCTCACGCTATGTGAGGACCTCCAGCGTCGCCGAAATCTCCATAGGAAAGTATTGAATAATGCTTTCCTTGGGGGGGGTCTAATGCACGTGCTCGACCATAGCCGCGAGGAGAGTAGGCAGAGCCTGAACCAGCGCCGAGGGACATCGGCCCTGGACTCCGGTAAGTCAATGAACGGGTTTTAACCCCTACAGCAACTGGGGATAGGGGGTGGGAGGGAGAGGGGCACTGTAGGGTCCTGCAGTGCCAGGAAAACAAAAAGGATTTCCTGGCACTGGAAAATCCCTTTAAGCTCTGTATCTATAATTTTTGACACAGCAAAGGATATGCCCCATCACTTTGAGGAGAATGATTTTATGGAATAAATATATGACTTTGCAATATGTATTTTGAATGGTGCTTTAAGATTGGTCCTTTTATATCGCTATTACTCCTGTTCCATAGCACTTTTCTAGACCTTACAGTGCTAATTCTAGATGAGGGCCAAGATGTACAGGATCAGAAAGTTGATAACAAAAAACACACTACTGCCAGGTAACCAACTCTTAAAAGTCAGGGCATTGTAGACAACTACTTTATGCTCTCTCTATAACACAAAATGTTAATTAATAGTTCTGACAATTACAGCTGTGGCAACCATAGATGTAATAAACAAGCCTGGGTGGCCTAATATTCTTTCTACATTCCGTTTAAAGACTGACATGGTAAAATAAACCTCACACATGGATATTAGTCTGGAAAATAATCCGATAAATCGTTAAGAATAAAACAAACAATTTTTTTTTTTTTTACCAAGAACAATCCGTGACTCCTCAGTCACTGCTGGACCACAGTTCACACTTCTAAAAAATGATGATGTAACTTGCAGTCAACCTGCAGTGACCACAGTTAAACTCATGAACTATTCTGCTGCTAATCCGGTGAGTTCTTCACTAACTTCCCATAACCTTTTGGCCACACCATCATCCCGGGCATGAGGTTTAACTGTAGTAAACGTGCAATTTTTGAAGTAGCCACCACTGTACTTTTCTATTCCTTCTTGTACAGCACAGTAGATGGATGTCTGGGCGCCATCTGTAGTGGTTCGAAGAAGGAGCCAGGCAAGTGGAAATAGCGCTACCTTTAACCAATATGGAAAACTGCGCCCCAAATTAGTGAGCACCACACCTGCAAAAAGAAAAAGGACGATATAGAGGAGATTTATTGGGTTATTTATTAGGGTGAGAAATTAAAGTAAATTTAAAATTTAAAGCCAGAGTAGCCAAAGTGAATGCATTGCTGACTTAGACATTTATTAACCTCCTGCTTCCCGTACATGGAGAGAGAAAAAGGAACCAGCAAGTTTTGTAAACACCGAGCCCATTTACCTATTTCAAGAGTAGTTTGAGAATGAATTCCTGAGCTGGTTAGTCATTTGCTGCATGGTTTTAGTATGGGTATGCATTCTATGAACTGCAATCTCTTTTTACTATACACACAGAGAAACAATTCTGACATAATTCCACAGAGTGTGCTTATTGTCTAAAGCAGGCTTGTCGAATCTGTGGCGGCAGGCCAAAAGCAGAATGGTTTTGTTTTGTTTTTTTCTTCCTGCCAGCCCTCAGAAATGTGGCTTCCTACTCAGGCCCTCCTTTATCACTTCACGAGCCATTACATGCCTCATGGCCAGAATTACTGGCAGTAACAGCAATAGTGTTATTTACATATAAATATCAGATTTATAATATAGTCATTATAAAAAGGAGGTGTGATTACAGAGTTTACACATTATTATTCTGACACCTATCCAAAGTACATTAGCGGACTGGAATGCCTAATCAGTTTATTCCTCAATGCTCCTAGTGTTCTACACTGAAAATGATCAAATGTCAGCAGACCCCACAGTACCTTACATTTAAGGTACTGTGGGGTCAGCTGACATTTGATAACGCAGCAGCTCTTCCCTCGTTTACCAGTCCTGAGGAGGGTAATGCACCTTTTACAGTTTAATTTAGCAGGGCCCCCCTGCAGCTCTGTTCCTGTATGTCCAACTTGTCTTGTTGAACTACTTGTCTGTTAGTTCTACTACTGTACAGCGCTGATGAATATGTTGGCGCTTTAAAAAATAAATAAAAATAAAATGTTGCCAGAACAGGGCATCAAACATTCATACTATACCGCTATACCAGTGTAGGTAATACTGCTTGCCATAGTCTATTTTATTTCTTTTCACCATCTCGTCTCCTTTATTTTAGGTTAACCTCTTTCTACCCCAATCTGCTGCTCCCTCCTGGATGTTAGCAACATCTCTTCTTTCATCCATGTCTGTTTTGCATCTCTCCATTAGATATCTACCATTTACCTGGCCCTTTCTAGTTTTTTAATCTACATGCATTCATCTAAATCACCTCCTTTGCAGAGAGGTTTTATCCCTATATTTCACTCTTCCTCCATATTCATTCCCAATTCTCCACCATCTCTCCTTTGATAGGTTATCCATCTCAGGTAGTCTTCAATCAACATTCCCCATCTCTCAGCCTCAGAAATTTACGATTATTCTTTTTTTCCTAAAATCGCTCACACGGAATCCACTTCCCCTCTCACAATCTATGCTCGTTTACCATCCAGATTAATTTAAGGACTTTGTTTCCCATAATTATCCTTTGATCTTATTACATTTAAACTGCTTCTGTTTTGCATCTCCAAGGCATTAACCACTATCTAATTTTTCCCATCTACTAGCTCTATTCCATATCGGTTTACCATTTACCCAAAATATTTACCCATCTACTCAAAGTCCAACCATGATTTTTGCATGCCTTCATTACACGTTAGCGCTTACCTGGATGAACAGAGTAGCATGTAACACCAGTATCCTGTAATCTGTAACTCAGGTGTCGGGCAAACAGTATATTGGCCAGCTTGCTGTCACAGTAGGACGTTAATATTTGCTTCCAGCTTTCTGCAGGTGAATTTAGATTTTTAAAATCTATCGTTCCATGTTTATATGCGTCAGATGCCAAGACTACTATGCGGCTTGGGGTGCAGAGCATTAAACGGTCCAGAAGCAGGTTTGTCAGGAGAAAATGACCCAAGTGATTGACCCCAAACATCAAGTTGAACCCATCTTTGGTCTGTCCCTTGGCTTCAATACCTATAAAAAGGAAAATTTAACTATTAGAAGTGGAAATGAAAAATTAATTTAAACGAATGACAAGTTGTTATTGGGAGAAGTTTGGCTGATGACTCCTGTTCATGTTTTTAACTCCGCTAATCATAACCTGCAGATTCCCCTGTGTGCTAACTGGATATGTAAAATAATCAGGTATATTGGAAAAAAAAAATAGCCTCCAATAGTACGGTCAGACCAGATGAACATGCATTGTAATGTTGTAGGCTCAGATTACACATCTGAATTATGTACATTAAGCTCTGGAGAAGCAGAGCAGATCAAATTCTACCTGACGGACTAAAAGAACGTACTTTAATGGTTTAGGTTTCTTGTTTCCCATCTGAAACTAAATATTTAGAAGTACATATTGCAGTATGATCTCTGGTTTAATTCGCTATTTTGTACTGTGTGTTTTGTGTTTTTCCATCTAAAAATGTTAGAATTCTAAAGCAATAAAGGAGTTTGTGACTTTAAGACAATGAATTTGGTCAGACTATTGGTCACTCCAAACTAATGAATGATCGCATGAAATCCTGCACAATAGTCTTCATTGTGAAAGGATTTACTAGTTAAATGCTCCATAGTCAGTCTGTGACAGCATATGATCTGCCTTTAGTGTGGCAGTCTTCCATTCTACTGGATAATCAAATCTCTCCTAAGGTGGGTGATCCATCTTGAGACATTGATTTTTTCCGATGAACTGGCAGGCATATGGGTATGTAGATATTTAAAATCATAAATCTCCCAAAGAAGGTAGATTTCCATTATAAAGCTCCAAACTTTATATACAACACACTGCATGGGAATCTTCAGGAGTCATCATGTCTGCGGAGTGTTTCCCTTATCTGTAACTCTGTGTCCCCCTGGTAGATGGAAGCACAGGCATTTCTAGCATTGCACAGTAACCATATTGACGCAGACATTGCAAGCACAGGTATGATGTGGCCAACATTTCCTGCATTACAGATGTCAATTCTGATTGCCTGTGGCACACACTGCACCTGTGCCTTTGACCAGACTTGGGCTCTAAATCCCTACCTCACCTTTACACTCAAAGTTAAACATGACACAATAACAGGACCACATAAATTAAATATTACGTAGGTTTCTCTCTCAAGTGTATATTACATGTGTGCTTGTAAAATTTTGAGTTTCTTGGCCTCCTGACACCAAGCTAACATCTAATAGTCTGTGATTGCATAATTCCTGGGTTTCGGTTTGCTTTTAAAAAGCAATTCACATTCAAATAAAATTTATTTAGCCATACAAGTTCAGCATTTATTCAAAAAAAAAAAAAAAAAAAGAAATGCTGCTGTGATTTGTATTCACAGCACAGGAATTTTTTTGTACTTTGCTCTAAAATATTAAATCTACATTTCTGCTTGCCTACAGTGTACGTATGAGCAATATAGGTTTTCTCTTTTCTATTTTTATATGCACAGATCCAAGTAATTTAATTATTTAAAAAAAAAAAAAAAGTTTAAATTCTTTATTTTTGTTGTGCATGTGGTTACATATAGACTTGCGATACCACAACAGTATTAGCAAGCAGTTCATGTTACAGGTTAGATTTAGCTTTGACACGGTATATGAAGTAATTGCACAATTTTTAAAAGTAAAATCAAGCTGAACAATAAACAGAATGGTAAATATATCAGTATGGAGTCATGTAACAGCAGTCTGGTTACACCGATAGTGCTTCAGTATTATAAAACATACTTAATGACAGGCTATACATATTTAACTGAACACAGGCTGGACATCAAACATTGGGATATTGCCAGGTGCGGGTGAGTGGAAAGTATGGCTGGTAAATCGGTTATGGCTGTACTAGTAGGTAGATCATCAATACAAATTGCTAATTAGAAGGTGCAGAATAAGTGTAAGCCATACAGTGATTGATGCATAGTAGTGTTTAGCAGGTTTAGCGGACACACATTTAGTAATAGCACACTAGAGTGGTTGTGGATTCTGGTTATATTCTCCAGATTTTGAGCTGCAGTGTTAATAGGAGTGACTAAGGAGTAAAGACCAAGTAAAATAAGGAATAAACTAATTAACAGGAACAGGAATGTGCATTGGTGCATGCAATGGGAAAAACAGCACAGTAGCATACAATGCCCGTAGGAGATTCAGAGTAGCTGGTTATAATTAAATAGAGTAAGATGAGTGATATGCTGTAGAGTAACCGAAAAACTGTAAAACTCAAAAAGGGGCAGCAAGAATTGATTTCCGCTACAAATGCAATGGTTAAAGGATGGGGTGGATGGCCACACCATTCAGCAGACGCCGTCTGTGGGAATTACACGGTCCTGCAACCCGGAGAGATACTGCAGGCCTTCGAGCCTCGAGGCAAGTCGGAGGGACAAGCCATATTCCATGATCAGGGTTTCCCTCAGTATCTCCGTCAGGTCTGGGATCCCAGTGCTAGATCGTAGCTGTGCCTTCGTGTGCGCTGTTCGTGTTGATAGTGATGAACGCTTTCTGCTCTGGGAGTGTTGTTTGCTTCTTCCCCTTCAGACGTGCCCCAGGGCAGTCTGTGTCTCACGTGTGAGTGCTGTGGAATCGGTGGGTGGGTGGTCTGGGCTGGATCACTGAGAGTTTTCGCCGGCAGCAGGTGCCTCCGTGGGTACACGCTATCCAAGTCTGAGAGATGTGTGTGGGCATACCCACCCGCGTGAACAGAGTTCCAGGTAAGTGTCGGCTGGTAGCAGGACAGAGTTTTCTGGGTCGGGGGGACCTCTCCACCTTCCTCCGTCCCTCAAGTATGGTCAGCCTTTTGGTCTTGCGTTGTCTTGCAGGCTTTGGTGCTATTGTTGCCGTGAGCTGTCAAGAGAGATCCACGATTGCCCATCTCTGTGCCTGTTCAGCGAGCTTAGCCCAGAATTGTGCCCAAAAGCAATCAAAGGCCTCTGCTATGTGGTTGTAGTGGTACTTACCTTACCCAGGGGCCGGCCGAGGTCCTCACTTCCTGCCGCGCGTGGCTCTCAAATGAAGGCGGGCACGGACCGCGAGATGCGGGCACGTGTCCCACCTAGCTCTAAGAGTGTGCCGCGCATCTCGGGCACGCTCTTAAAGGGGCAGTGGGAGCCAAAAGATGAATTGTGCTCTCATTGGCCCCTGTCATCCCACATTCCCCAGACACTCACATTTTGGGGGCGTGGATATGACAGGGGCCAATCAAAGTAAAGTTTAGGGTATTTATACTTACCTCTCCCTTAACTCCCTGCCCTATCGTGGTTTCTGTTTCAGTTCCCTTTAGCGCTTGTTGTGTTCAGTTGTGATTTTCGTGCTTGACCTTGGCTCCGTTTATCTCTCTATTCCTGTTTTGTCTTGTTTGCCGGCTTACTGACTACTGTGTACCAGACCTTGGCTAGTTTTTGTTCTCGCAGTCTCTTTGTTCCCTTGACCTCGGCTTGTTCTTGACTGTCTATTCTCTGCTATACGGCGAGTCCGGCCATTCTAAGGTCCGGTAAGTCGTATCTGCTCTGTCGATTGTTGAACTAAATCTTGCGTGTAGGGGTAAACTACCGTGACACTGATCCACTTGGGGGGGGGGCCAGAGATCAGGTCTCAGTGTGCCGGCCATCTTTGCAGTGAGCATGTGTGTCATAGATTCAGATGCTTGGTACCGATTATCACCCCCACACTGGGTTGTTTACAGGCAGGTACTTCGTGGGGACGGGATAACCCCCACCGGCCCAAAGAGGGGCAGGAGCGTAGCCCAGATAGTCGTCGTTATGTAAAACAGGCAGGAGACCGGCCGCATCCTCTGCTTCAGGTTAGTTAGCAGGCCGCAAGAGTTGTCAGGTCCCACAAAACTCTCAGATGAACTCAGGGTTCAGATTCGGCTGGTAGTTTGTGAAAATTAGCAGGTTAGGGGCCAATTTCTCAGTTTTTGTCGAGGAGCTCTTTCAGCGTTCAAGAGTCCTGCTCGCTCTGTAGTCAGGCCCTGCCCCCCCATAATTTAGTAATTTAATGGACACCAACAAAAAAAGT